TAGAGACAGAAAGTTCTGATACTGCACTTCTCACAGTGGCTTATGTTATGGCAGGGGTGTGTGGATTGTGTCTGCTGCCAATTTTTGTTCTCTTGGCTCAAGCTAGTTGTAAGAGAAAAAAACAGCACGAGCGACTTCCACAAAGTGAGACTGCACATGAAGCAAGTGACACCGCAAACCTTAGAGATGATTTCTGATATAATTTTGCAATGATGTTTCAGTGATGACAGTACATCAATGAAATTACTCCACCATATACATGAATGGGTTTAAGGACTGGTAAGACTTGCATCAGTGGTTACTGGAGTACATACCACCCTGGTTTTCAGGAAATATTTAGTTTGAGAACAATTTCTTAACCTAAAATGCTGCTTGGTAAACAATGTTTTCCAATATTGAAGGTGCTATTGGCTGATCATTACAAGCCACTTTGGTCATGCTATACATGGCAATGTATATGTATGTACATACATGGTAGTTTTATCAAATTAGAATCAATAAAATGAATTATTCATAAAAAGGGCAATGAACATAAGATTTATGAATAGGTAAAAATTTACACTTTGTGATTTTAGAATATTTTAACCCTTTAACTCCCAAAAGTGATTAACATGTTATTTCTCCCTAGAATATCTAAACATTATCTAGCAAACAGGTCATGAGAATATTCAAACTTAGCAGCAAATGCTCCTAACTTATTTACAAGGAAATGTGTGGTGGCTAGAGGGGAGAATTGACTATCAGACTGCAGGAGTTAAAGGGTTAAGGTCAAAAATATGAAGTACAACAGCTGCCACTAACTGATTTCAACCACAAATGTAGTGAAGAATTACTTACTTTGGGTTGCATTTTTGTATGTAGTGATGCGAGTCAAGTGTCACATATTATAATCTCAGTGCTTGCAAACTTACTATCTAGTGTTAAATAACACAGCCGATTATAATTATTTTATTACTGCCAGCATATTTCATTTCCACCAACCAAAATTTTTTTAACAGTAAAAGTTTTTCAAACAAAAAGGGAATTCTTAGTCAGTTTCAAAAGACCTGAGGTTCTAAGTTTCCCTTAAGGGTTCGAGTTTCCCAATCAAGAACTGTTAGTTATATATATAAAAGGAATGTTGAAGGGTTATAGTAAGTACTTATTTAGTTGGATTAGGTACTAATGATTGAATACATGATCTCATTAATGTTTGTCCTAGTTCATAAATTCAATAGAAATGCTCAATAATAGTAGTTTAGAAGATATTGATGATGTTGATGTCACATGTTCGGAAAAATCAATAGAACATCACAATATATGTAGAGAGAGCAAGTCATTTTTTATTTGAAATGCTATTTTTTAATAAAAATTTTATAATAAAATACAGTACTGTTTTAATTTTTATTTTCTTTTTACCTAAAGTCCAGCTTCTTCTCAGATGATAAAAGTTTTAATTCTACAAAAACCACTCAAGATAACCCCACTGAAGGTTCAATGATCACTGTCTTAACTTTAAGAAAAGTAAATTGTAATGAAAATCAAGTGTTATACTATTTCGTGCAGGACAAAAATGAGGAAATAATAAGTTTGTAACAACAAAAATCATTGCATAGAAGAGATTTTAAGCTAACCTAATAATCCCAAGATTCCAGTTTTAGTATGGTTCACAATTCATAAAATTACTCTTAATAAATAAAGAGCAGTTAAATTTAGCAAAACTCTTTACAGTGGCCATTTTACATTATCATCTCAGTTGATAAAACCAAAATGATCTTGTTGTACTCCCCCAATGATGCAGCACCACAGTTTCGTTAGAAACCTTCTTCCTTTATTCAAAGACCAGGTTAGGCTTATTGACAGAACATGTTAGTTAAGGAAAATATAGCGGACACTCTATACCACATTACACCAAAGAAACTGAACAAAACATGGGTCTTGCCCTCATCTCACAACAATCAAGAAAACTTGATTTATTCAAATATCAGTTGTTACTGGTAAATTAGGTAAGCCATTTACCTTCCATGGCTAATTATATGTTGAGTGATGATTTCAGTGATTCTAAACTTGGCATATAAAAATCTGGTACTAAATTCATATTGTCTGGACTGACTGAGGTCTGTACATTTTCAACATCTTTAAGGGATGAGATTCCTGTCAGCACTAGAACAGTCCTCAATCCACAGTTGTTTCCAAACATAATGTCTGTGTTCAATCTGAATTGGTCAATATATAAAATAAAATTGGAAAACAAAACAAAAAAACAGCGGCAAGTGAGCAACAATGCAGAACTTGAATATGTGAAAGGTATAGGGAATTCCCTAGAGACTATCCAACCCCAAAACAAAGGCATACTCCAATTGGCTGTCAATGTTTTTCATGCCATTGTGCTTTTGAAGGGAAAACAAAACAGCTACAGAAGCTGCTCCTAAAATAATAAATGACACCAAATTAATGCCAGGAGTGTAGTATGTTTCTCACTACAGTCAAATGTACCTTAGACAAAGTGTCGTTATAGAGGGAATGAATGGGGCCATTCCAAGTAATCATAAGAAGGTGATAATCTCTGTCAAGAAAGACTTCAGAGAAGGTTAACCCTCTCATTCCCATGGTCTATGTGCCACGCATTTCTATGTTGGGGGCCATAAGAATTTGGCAATACCCGTAAATTAAAAAACAATATCCTCTACTTGGCAAAGTGTGGATAATGTTAGGATAAATTCCTTATGGCTCACTGCTGGGAATCAAAGGATCAACTTGTATTCTAATAAACTTACCTGTCTCCTATCATACAAGTCTTTGAAGGGTCAATAGCATGCCTGGTTAAAAAAAGAACATAAGCAATTAATAATACGATGAAAAATGTTTACATACCTGATAGCTAATTTAATACACTTTACAAATTAAATGATGTTACTATTAATATTATTTACCGTGATTGAATACACTCAAACATGACTCTCTCTGGTTTCCCTATCACTTTAGCTTTCCTTCTAGCTGCTGCTTCCACAGAAATCACCAAGCAACCTGTCCCTGAAATTCAATTATTATTTTTTTGATTAATTCAAATGGTAATTACAAAATTATTATTATCATTCAAAGTCTTTGGAACATTTCTGATGACAAGAAAGTAAAAAAAAACCCAGCAAAGAAGACTGAGAAATCTGTAGGTTTTTTAAACCAGATAAAATCTATTACATTCTAAATTTCTATCACTAATCTTGTAAAGAAATAATGTGTGATATCATCAGCTTACAAAAAAAAAAGGAAAATGTGATCACCTGGAATAACCACACCATTCTGGTTGAATGGAAACCTGTCATCTAGATTTGTGGCAATGAACAAACAGGAATCTTTGGCAAGGTAACTGGCTGCTTTGATGAGCTTGTGGAAACTGAAGTGCTCATCAAATCCACAGATAACAGCTCCAACCTACAAAACAAGTGAATCTTTAATTGTCATTGGTAACATAGACATAGAACTTCAGCCCTTAATCATGTCAAGATATGAGACCCAAAGATAGCAGAATAACAAGAATATTCTACATCTGGGAAAGAATAACCCAGTGAGATACATGTTGGGGACATTAATAAGATAAACTAAAAGTAAAAGTAGTATTCTCGTTACATATACCTCAGGGTCCAACTCAAATGAAGCCCACTCTTGTAGATTATAGCCACCAGTTGACTGATCAGGCTAAAAGTAATTTAAATTATCATTCAAATAAGCCATGTGAAAAACATTGCAGATGTGTAATAGAAATATATGGTATGTACTATGAACAGTTTAAAAATATAAGCCACAACAAGAATTTTTGAAAAAGTCAAGGTCACAATATAAGAACAAATACATGTAAATAGACAAATTAAGTACAACAGAAAAATATATCAACAAAGATTTGTAGACGTATGAAAAAGACTATCATTCATTTATTTGTGGAGCTCTGTCTGTGGAAATTATTCATCTCCCATATGTCATTTGAAAGATGGATGTTCAAATGAGCGCATCATTATTGGGATACCAGAATATTTTGCAGAGACAATAATTATTCACCTACTTGGGATGTATTTCTACCTACAATGTGTGCACAATGACTTTTTCCTATAATTTATTAATTACTGGCAACTTTAGAATTTATCACAGTAAATATGATCCAACCTACACCAGAACCAGTATGTTGAATATTCATGGCATCAAGTTCCTCCACCATCCCTGTTGTGCCAATTGTAAAAACTTTTTTTTCAAACTTCAGAATCTCCTTTAAATAATATGCAACAGCATATGCTGTTCCATAGATTTCTTCCTGAAATAAAACAAAAAGCTGAAAACACCTAAAATAACACAGACATGGCTCATTCCTCAACTGAAAAAGCAGTGAAGAAGTTAAGAGGATAAATTTCAGCTGGTACTCAGATTATTAAGTGAGGTGGAAGAGGGTAAAAGAGAAGTAAAAAAAATGATGAAAAATAGGAGGAAAAAGGAAGTATGTACTAATAATGTGTATTGATGCAGTAATTATGAATATGTCTGTGTATAGAACTTGTTTATTCAGCAATAGAGAGAACAAACATTAACTAAAAAGGATAAATTTGCTTTATGAAGTTCAGGATAATAAGAAAATTTTTCCATTTTACCTCATAAGCTACAATTCCAAATTTCTCAAATTTCTTGAGATATGCCATTCTTGACTTGGAGCTATTATTAGTAGCAAAAAAAACCCTTTTACCCTAAAACAAAAATTGAATTTTTAATTTCAGTCAAAACAAAAGAAAACCTAAGTGCATGTAAACATTACTAGCTTGATCAAACATTTTACCATGGGCGGAGAGGTCATTTCATGGAGAAGTATGCTGGAGAAATCATTTACCATTGAGTCTGATCACAAAAGTTACATGTAAAAAAGTATTATTCACCCCTTTTCGAGATCAACAATTCCACAACTAAGCCACACATCTGAACTAGAGGGACTGCCCTAGTGCACAGCTACTACACAATCTATTTCTCCAAATATTGCAAAAATAACTAATTAAGTTCAAAAGGCCTTCCTGTATTGCTTCTTGGTGTGCTGACAGGTTAGTAATGGATGGAAAGACGATAGAAAAGTTGTTATATAAAGGGTAAGAGGCCATGATGCTTAGCAACTTCTAAAATGACAGCATTTGTAGGACAATGTTGGAAACAATGGGTTACTCTTTAAGCTTAAAACAATTCCAGTACCATAACGTCATATTTAATATCTGTATGGATTCAGCTGCATATTAGTCCTTAACTAATATGCTGGTGGGACTAATATGCAGTTGATCACACTGCAGTGATCGCTTGACTGAATTTATTAAAGAACCTAACGTTAGAAAAAGACTAAATAACAGATTGAGAAAATAATCCTTGTTTAGAAAAAAAATTAAGTCATCGATCGAAATACTTCTTCTCACCAATCTTCGAAGCTCATGCAAAACTTCCACCACTCCATCTAGGGGGCCAGCTTCATTCCAAAGGACCCCTTGGATATAATGAGATTGAACATGATTTCGGTACAATGATACACCTAAACACCATTCTAGCTTGGTATGTCACTAACCATCACAATCAAAGATAAAAGTGTCTATCGAGGCTATAAAATTTCTGGCACCGGTTCCCTCCAGAAGTTGACAACTTTTGCAAGTCATCTTTGCCATTTTGTCTCTTTGGAGGATGGCCGCTGGTAACTCACCTTATCCATCATTACCAAGTTCCGCTCGGTTGCAGTTCGACGTTCCTTCCCAGTTATTCAAGATGGCGCGTGGGGAACGGCAAAGTTGGAGAAAAATAATATCAAGGAAACTTGAAGCGAGGGATCGAGTGGAGTGGCATTGCTTTAGAGATATCATCAGGGAACGTAAGTGAAGACTTCATCGTTGTTGATAGGAAATTGTACGTTTGGTTAGGATTTAATCACCAAGCATACATATTGTATTGCTGACTTTGACGAATCAATAAAAACATAGGAACTTTAATCCAAATTTTCTCCTGTTTTTTTTCGAACAAGTCAACATAAATTTATCTTGTCACTGACAATGATCCAAAACTCTTTGTGGATGTGAACTATTATTTCTTGTAAGATAGCCCAAGATAGGAAATATTTGAGCCTGTAATATGACAGTTCACATCATCTAAGTTCATGTACCATCATGAGTGCATACTGAATTATTGACTAGTCAGATTCAAGTTCATGATAAATCATGTTCAAACAAATCAAATCCATGGGTCTTTGACTATTTCCATCTTTAAGATTTCTCTGCAGTGTCGAGACTGAAAAACAGAATCGAAGGAAGGACAAGGGTCTTACTGCAAATATAGTGAAAAGTGAAAGACTGAAAAGAGCGAACCTCTAATTGGTGAATTGACATGGGAAATAATATGGTTTTTTCCGGAGAGCGAGATATTGAGCAGATTTTTAAATTACATTTGGGTCGTTTTCACAGTCAATAGATGTTTCAGCACTAATTAATGAGATCACAAAACGTTGAAAGTTGCATTGCATGAAAACTTTTACATTTGTGTTATTCTCTTTACGTTCATCATACAAGGGAAAGGATAAATGATAATTTTTTATGGTGTTGTGGTAGTAATATTTATTTTGGGTATCATATTCTTTTACTGATTGTTAGTGGTCTTCTTTACCCACAACTAAGGTGTATTAAATACTCTGCTTGTTTTGTATTTTGTCTATTTTATTTTAACAGACAACAAGTTATTTGAAAATGCCGATACTGCAAAATCAAGAGTTGTTCAGTTGGAAGTACAAGTTGCTCAAATTCAACAGGTTACAACTCCTGATGCATTTCTTTTTTTTAACATGATTGGAAGTTTTACATTACCTTTATTTTTAATGAATGGGTGGCCTTTTATCTTATTGAGTATCAGAACAGTGTGAGTGGAACTTAAATTCCTTTATTATTTTACAGGAAAAACTTGAGCTTCATAGACGTGCTCAAGAATCAAGGTAAATTATCATAATAGGAGGTAGGTTCAGTTGAAATATTTGTATTGATTAACCTTTGTTCACTTGTTGTTCATTATTTTAGTTCAGTTAGAGGAGGGGCTGGGGTTGTTGTTGGAGGATCAGAAAAAGTAGCTTCCTTGGAGCAGAAGTTGTTCAAATTACAAGAGGAACTGACGGAGCTCCACCGTCAGAAAGGAGAGGTTTGTCTAATATTAATATCACCTAACCAGTGTCTAACACGTGGATTAAAGGAACTCACCAGATTATTAATTTACAAAGTATTATTTTTTTCAACTGGAAATATGGCATTTCAATTGAAACATCTCCCTGAGGGCAAAAGACTAATCATAATTAGGAAAAAAGGGAAGGGATTCAATTGTTTAACCTTCCAACTTCATGGTTGGAAGGTTCATTAACTCTTTAACTCCTAAGGGTGACTAGCATCTAATTTCTCCTCACAATATCACCCTTGAATCACACATTAAGGTCATGAGATTAAAGATAATGACCACAGACCAAAGAAGCTCATGATTGTTAAACAAATTTTCCTTGTCGGCACCTCAGGAAATGTTTAAAGAACAGTAGGGAGAATATGCAAACTGATGTAAGGGTGTAAAGAGTTAACTAAGATACAGATAATTTGCAAATAAACCTGGCCAAACAGCAGATTCATACCTTACAACATTTTTTTTTTAACGTCATGTTTTGACAAGTCAAAATATTTCTTATCAGAATGCGCAGAAACTAATGGAGCTCAACAATACATTGCGACAAAAGGAGCAAGAACTATTAGCTAAGGAGGGAGAGTGAGTACACATGTATAGCAGGAAAAAATTTGTATATTGTGCCAAGAATTCACATTTTTGACTTTTAAAATTTACATCATCATCGTACCAGACTAAGAATGGAGAGAAAATGAGAGAAAAAGGGCAAAGTTTCTCATTCCTCAGTTGTGAGTTTCTTAATGACTCCCAGGAATTCTATATGAACATATATATTGTTTGTTGTTTTCCAATCAGATTGCATGACTTATCAAACAATTTAGAAGAAGTTGACAGGGCAAGGCAGAGACTGGAGCAAACAGTTACAGAATTGGAGGCAGCAAAACAGGTACACATTTAATAAAGGTTTTTTTTGGTTTGCAATGCAGAGATATTAGTAGTCTTTTTTTTGTATGCTACAGCATGCTATGGTGATGCAATTCTAAGCAATGAGGTACAAACTCAACCTTTTTAAATAATTTCCCAGTTTTCCCATAGTACCATAACTGGGCCACATTTTAAGTAACTTACAGTAAAGGCATTTTATCCATAAGTTATCCATCGAAGTGTATTTTCAGAACAAAATATTTAAAAAGCTTGTAGTAAACTGTGGTTTAAATTATTTTCTTGAGTAAGCTTTGTGATTGATTCTCACTCTGTGTTTTCTCTGGATTGATGTTTTCCTTAAATTGTAGATGGTAAAAGATGAACACCAAGCATTACATCTTGCCTACGTAACATTGGATGAAAAATATAGGAAAGTACAAGCAGAGAATGAAGATCTTGTGAGTTCCTCACAGTCAGAATTATTATAAAATTTTTATTCCTTTGACCCACACATTTTCAAGCAGTCCTCACTTAATTAATTAATTCAGTTAGTTAATATTTTATTAATATCAAACATTTGGTTTAATTCAACATCGATTTCAGGTAACAAGGTGGATGGCACAGAAAGCAAAAGATGCAGATAAAGTAAATGCTGAAAATGAATTACAGTTGAGGTGAAGAAAATACCTTTTCGTCAAACAAAATACATTTCCTCCTTTTCACTAACATTGTAGACTCTGTGTCAGCCTTACAGGGAGTAATTAAGAACTTTCACTTGCAGAATTTATAAAAATATTCTGTGATGTGATTTGTGAAATGATGAAACATATTTTTACATATTATTTTTACTTTCCTTTTAGAATACGACATGAAAAGCAAAAAAATCTACTAATTGATGCAGCAAAAGAACCAGTAGTTGTAAATATACCAAGGCAGGTTACCCTTTGTAATGTATACTAGACATTAATTAAGTGAATATTATAATGTGCCTGTGTTTATGTACTATAATAATAAGGAGACTGTTACATGTAGTAAGTAAACATAATTTATAAAGTAACAGGAAATAAATGGAATACCAGAGCAGGACACTGTTAGATTTATTGTTACATTAAAGGTGATTAATAGACCTAAGATGATGATATACCTGAGTGAATAAGGGAAACTCTGTAATCCATATTGCTTGGATATAGAGAGATTGTAGAACTTTATCTCATTAATCACTAACAGCCTCACAAGGTGAAATTATCAAAGAAAGACAAATAAGGAGAGGCTCTATAGTTCATTTTCAATTTGTCTGAATTGCAGTTCTGATCAGCCAGGCATACCTTTCTGTGCAATAGTATCTATCCCTTCATTTCCTGATAAAAAATTTGTGAGTATGAATTCAAGTTGTTGATAATTATTAATATTAAGTTATTGAAGATCATTTTTTATATATCAAACATAAGCAAGGGTCATAATACCAATATGCACATGAATACAAAGGGATACAAAAGATTAACAAATAACCTAGAAAACATGCTTTTCTTAAGGTCTTTTTTTCTTTAATACACTTTTGTTAGGTAAAATAGTTTTTTGTCAGTCAGTTTGTCCCTTTTTTCTCCTTTCTCGTCAAGTTACAATTTAAGGTTATTCTTGTGAATGCATATCACTCTCCTTTACTCAGATCAGCTATTTCTGTGTGTTTTGTAACAGGATGCACATGAGGGTGAAGTAAATTCTGCCAGATTCAGTATTTCAGGAAGATTATTTGTAACAGGTGGTGCAGACAGAAAAGTTAATGTCTGGGAACAAGTAAATGGTAGGAACCATGATATCTTACCTTCAAATTATTTCTCATTTATATTGAATATTGATTATTATCATACGACCCATGCAGCCTCCACACTTACTTTTATTGAAAAAAATTAAACAGAAACATGTCCTTATTTGAAGGCCATACTTGATGGTTTGGGCAAGGCTGGAAAAAGCTATATCACCATGCAAGATTTGAGCTAAAAGTAGAAAGGAAGATTTAAAAAGAGCAATTATAATAAAATGCTTTTGATTCAATCAAGTTTGGCAGAAGGGGAAATTGTTTTGTTATTGGTCATGACACAGGGATCTTGAAGAACTTGGTCTGTACATTATGACCTTGAGCCCAATATTTTCTGGCCCAATCTTGCCACTGAGTCAATAAAATACACAGTATTTTATCTAATCAGTAGTCCTCTATAATTATATAGTGATTAAGATATGATAACTTGAAGTACTTTTATTAGTTTATCTAATTTGTGATACTTGCTCCTTTTTTTTATTTCAGGAAATTATACAATAAAAGGAGTTATGCATGGTTGTAATGCTGGTGTGATGTCAGTACAAACTGACCCTCAGGTAAGGTTATATAACTATTGGCTTGATACCAAATATACAGGGTTTGTATTTCCATAGATAGCATTGCTATTAATATTTTTATCAACTGTTATATTTTATAGGAAAAACTTGTCCTGGCAGGTTCTCATGAAGGAACTTGTAGAGTATGGACTCTTGCCGATCAGAGACTTCGAGTGAGATTTTTTAATACCATGTGGGGTTTTTCTCATCCAGTAATTGCTATTTTTTCAAAGACATTAACACACCAATGGAGGCCATGATTATTTTGATTGTTTTATGTGCATGTGAATAAGCCTTTTCAGTCTTTAATTTTGAGCCAAGTGATTTCTTGTTTTTTACAGGCTGATGAGGCTAGAAAGGCTAATTTGCATGCACTAGGAACTTCATTTCATAAAAGAGGTCTAGAATTACAAATACTATGACAACAAATGCTTCACTTCTTAAGCTGTAGAACATATTGAATTTTAACAAAACAAACAACACTCTCATGATGGTGATTAGATGTGCCACCTAAAACATTACTTCAATTTAAGATGGTGCACTTGTCCTAAGAAAAAAAAATTTGGACTCAGCACCTGTAAGAATGTAAAATTTTGTACAGTTTCATTTTGCAAGTGGACAAATAATTTCTGCTAGGAAGGTTCAATACCATTGCTTCCCCTTAGAAAATCAGTAAAGATTTACAAATGCTCAGTAATATAAAAAAGTACCTTTTGGAAGGATGTTTCTGAGCTAGATTTGAGGCTTAACTGTAATTATTTTTAATGTTTGTGTTTATATAGCACACCCTCACAGGACATTCGCAAAAGGTCATGGCAGCCAAATTTTTTGGAGCAGCAACTAAAGTTGTTTCTGGAGGCCATGACAGAACATTGAAAATCTGGGATCTTAGAAGTAAAGCATGTAAGTTGTTTTGAACTCAACTTTTTCTTTTTTGAACTAAGGACCAGATTCTCTCGGCTGTGAATGGCCCTCATCCTAGCTGTTAAAAAAAAAAACTAGAAATACTGTGATGTAACAACTTCATGCAATACAAAAGGTTTCATTCACTATGCTCAAAAGAAGAAAATCTTCGAGTTCTATTTACATGTCTCTAGAGCGTTATCTCATGCCTTTAATTTCAGGGAGCATAAATTGCAATAAATTTGAAAACAAAACATACCATCTTCTTTAATTACCTCATCATGGGGCATCTCTGAATGAAATATCAGTATTTCACTTGGATGCTGAGGGCATATTTACAAAATAATTATAGTAAACTATACCATTAATTTTCTTCTTTTTCTCAGGCACACGAACAATTTTTGCTGGTTCGAGCTGTAATGACATAGTAATCAATGAAGGATTTGGGTAAGAAACAAGTTAAAAATAGTTGTTGGTTACAACTGACTCCAGTTCTTCAAAATTCATACATGTTCCATTTCATTAAGTATTGGTTGTTTAATGATTTTGTCAAAAATTGACTAATCATTGAAAATAATTTTGCCATCATTGAGCTGGGTAGTTACTGACAGCAATTTGCATTACATTTTCAAACTTTAATTAGCAGCTGAAGTGAATGAAAACATTATTCCCACTGAGTATTGTTTTTATTCTATTTAGTTCACAAGTGGTAAGTGGTCACTTGGACAAGACTGTCAGGTTTTGGGATGTCAGGTGAGACAACTAATAATAGTGATCTACAAAATTGAAGTAAAAATGACGTGGTATGTAGAAAATAGATTAGACAAGTAAAATTTTAAGCCATAAAATTCTTTGTTGATTGTACAGTATGTGCTCATAACTGGAAGTGATTTGGAGAGTTTCTTTCCATTCTTAAGATATGATGTTGGGTTTTTGTATTGTATGATATAAAATAATGAAAAATGAAAGTTGAATAAGTTATATTATAAAATAATTCAAACAATACGCATTCTGATTGGCCATAAAACCATTTAAATGAGCGTATGTAAACACGGTTTTCGTTCCCCTTTCATTAGTTATTTTATAAAAGAAATGTAAAATGGTTTCCGTGTTTACATAACCTGATGTAAACACTTGGGAGGTTGGGAGAACACTCAATAAGCTGGAAACCACTCTGCTTCGCATCATGGTTTCCTACACTTATCTCGTGTTCTCCCAACCTCTCGCGTGTTTACATCAGGCTATGTAAACGTGGAAACCATTTTACATTTCTTCATTAAATAAATAAATACAGCCATGTTATTTTACATTATCTTTTTTTTAAAGATTACGGTATTGTATTTATTCATGAATTATTATGGGACCCACTAAATATTTCATCTCCAATTTGCAGTATTTGCTTTGTATGAAGATAATTTAAGAAGATTTTTGTGGAGTAATGATAGCCTTTTCATTATCTTAATATGTAACACTCTTTGTAACATTTGTAAACTACATATGTAGAGGTTATTGCAATGTGATTCAAAGTTTTATAGATAAGTTTAGATGAATACATTTGTGGCATAACTTTATTTTGTTCTTCTTTCCTTTTTGCATTGTGATGATTGTGTTAAGTGTGGAACTTATCAAAACACAATTCAAGCTGCTATATTAATATGATTTTGATACAGAGTAGATATGGTGCTTCTTTCTCTAAGAGTTGAGGGGCTGGTTCTTTACACCAGTCTAACCCAAACTACAGTTTTATGAAAGCAGTGGACCTTACATATTCTCTATAAGAGGGTCTTTTTGATCAATTGAAGGTCATTCCATCTCCAGCTTTTGGCCCTCTTGACACTGTTCACAAAAATAATTGTTCAGATAAAAGATTCAGCCAAATTAAAAATGGTTTAGAATGCGGCTTTGTTGAACAATGGCTAAACTTTGTTTAAATAACCAACCCTTGAAGTTTACACTGAAACAGTTGGCCAACTTACAGTAGTATATAAATTAGATATTATAGGACTGAACCATCAAAGCTGATCATTAAGTAATAGCAAGAGTCAAGATGTTGATTTGGGTTCATGTTTGTTTACAATTTGCTTATCTGTGATCATTTCATGTAAATGAACAACATATTCTGTCTTACTGACAGAATCTGACGTGCATAACTTACTTCCAGTCTACATGCAGGCATTACCTCTCTTTGGTATTAATTCTACTTAAATTTTTTTTTCAGATCTGACAATCAATCAAGTGTTGGAGAAATCACACTACAAGGGAAAATAACATCATTAGATTTATCCCCAGGTTGTTGAGATTTGCCATGTTACGACATTTTTTTTCCTGCCAACTAAAGTAGACAGTCTCTTCCTACAGCATTACTTAATAATCTCTTTGAGTTCCTTCTTAGTGAGCCCCAGCATTGTAGAAAAGCAACAGAACAAACAAGTCCCTTATCAAAAGGGATAGTTTCACAATAAAACATTTAGGGAATCAATGAATGTTTGAGTTTCAGCTCATGGGGCCATCAAAACAACATCTACAAGTTGGTGAATTAGAAACAGCAATGCAGTTAGAGTAAGCTTCCTTTTCTGATATTTCTTGACAGACATGAACTACATGTTGGCAAGTGCAAGGGATGACACAGTTAAATTGCTCGATTTGAGAATGAACCAGGTTATGTCAACATGTAGGTGAGTGAACATGATTAATTCACAGAATTCTACAAATTAACAAATTATTAATTTGGAGAAAAATTATATATGATGACTTTTAAAAACTCACGGGGTGTTAAATCTTGAGTGCAGTATTTCCAAAGCAATAATTCTTTTTAAATTTTATTTCTAGTGCGGACGGTTTTAAAGTTGCAGTGGATTACACAAGGGCATCATTCAGGTACTTTAAGTACATGTACAGGGCATAAATTGTCTTACATTAAGATTTTGTCATGTGTAGGTTTTGAAAGTGAAACCAAATAGTCCAGTTAATGTACTTAAATAACTAAGAACTGCTCTTGACTTAAAATTTGATCTGTTTTCCATTTCTTCAAGCAAATAGTTTTGAAAATCCCTTAAACATGTATGCTAGCATCAAGATGTTATGGTGACAACATGATTTAACTTATTATTAATTTGTAGTTGTATTCACATTATTTTTCATTAGTCCTGATGGCCAGTATGTCATATGTGGCTCAAGTGATGGTAGTATTTTTGTATGGAATGTAGCCTCTGCAAAACTAGAAAAGGTTCTTAAAGAACACAGGTTAGTATTTCATGGAAGTATATTTATTTACATGTATTAGGTTTGTTTTAAAAATACTTCTGTAAATTGCACAGCTAAACATCTGATAGACTGACTGACTTACTGATTCACTAACTCATTCACTGAGTCACTAGCTTGCAGACTCAATGACTCACCTGACTGACTGTTTGACTGATTTCACTCCTTTTGTTTTGTTGTGTGATGTAGAGATCCAAACATGCAGTTAGAATAGAGAATACTGCAGTTTATTTTGTATATTTCACAGAAAATCAAACTTACCACTCAAAATTTGTAATTTTCTAATGACAGTTCCTCAGTGGTTGTGTGTGCCTGGCATCCTGATGGATCAAGTCTAATCAGCTGTGATCGTAACAAGCGTGCAATCATCTGGACAAACAGATACTGAAATCACTCTCAAACTGGATGGCATAGCCATTAGCTCAGTATTGAGTTACAATGCACGCCATTTGTAATAAGTGCCAACAGTGCCATAAGTAACTGAAATAAATGAAATGGCAAGCTTCAAAAACTTAATACATCCTGTTTTGAAGAAGAATTCTCTGGAAAATTGTTGTGTATCTAAAAGAGACATATTAAGTTAGAGAGGTCTTAAAACAACAGCACTTTTAGATATAAGTAGCATGTTGTAAAATAATGTGTCTTCTTACTAAATATAAAAGTTACACATGTCACTCAACACATATTTTTGAAGGGTCAAAATTCATTAAAAAGTGTATAGGCTTTCTTTAACTGCATTTCTCCTTTCAAAAATATCTAGTAAGAATAAACATGTTCAGTTATAATTCTAATCCTTTTGTTTAATATGTAGTTTAAATACCAAAAAGGTGTTTGTTTATTTGCAGGCAAAGAACTTTGGTTTTTGTGAGTAAGGAATTTGAAGTCAACCAACACATACATTTGAGGCACATACATTTGAGGCTAGAAAGACAAATTTCTTCCAAAAGGAACCATCTCAACCTAATATGACTGTGTTTTTCAAGGAAATATCCTAACCCTTATTTGTGGGGACTTTTTAATAATGAGGCCATTTTATTAGAAGTGCTATATAGAAAGGCACAATTTTCAACAAACCACATCAGTTTAAAATTGAAGTTTGTCCAAAATAACTGATAGGAAAATAGCTTTAAGTTTGAGCTAAAGAAAAATTTGAGTTGAAAAAGTTCCAACCTACTCAGGTTAGGGGCCAGGTTAGAAATTTAATGTTATTTTTAATGTTATAATTTAAAATATAGTGAGATGTTTGAGAAACCAGTAGCTTAGAAAGAAATGTCAAATTTTGCAGTTTGCAATTATATCATTCTTATTTAAAAATCAACAGAAGGTACATACTACAATGCAAGTGTAGTAAAAGTAAGATTGTCAAATAACAATGAACCCCCTCCCTCTCTCTGTCTCTCTTCCCCCCCCCCTCCCCCAGCCAGCCAAGTTAACCATATTATGCTGTTCAAGCCATACTGAACACATTGCCACATTGCTTTTATTTCTATTTACTGGTATTTCTCAGCTGGTAGGACTTGTAAATATAATTTTGCTTTCTTTTGTAAAAGAAATAATAATAAACTGTTTTGTGGACTGGTAAATGGAAACTTGATTTATTTCACTTGAATTGTTTTTTTTTTTTGCCTTGTGTTTACCAATATCCTCATATTGTTCTCTATGTATTATTCTTGTTTACAGACTTGTAAATGACAAGATAATTAATTAGGTTTAATAAGGCAAGTCAAGTAAATATCATAAAAAAGGTTGTGGTTATTCATTGTGGTGAATAACAATAAAAGCAAAGTTTTTTTCATTTGTCTCATGATGTAGTCACGTGTGATGTAGATCACAACATTTCAACTGCATACAGCTAGTCTTCTTCAGGCGATGAAGAAGCCTGAAGAAGACAAACAGTATGCAGTCAAAACATCACAATCTACATTACACTTGACTACATCATGAGACAAACGAAAAAACTTAGCTTTTGTTGTCAAGTAAATACATTTCCAGCCCTTGTGTAACATTACAAAATTGAAGGTAACTTTAATTCAAAGGGTGTTATTGAAAATACCTCAAGGAGGCTATTTACAAAAGTTACTTAAAACATCTGAGCTTTGTGATTGGGAATTCCTTAAACCATCACAGAGATAACACAATTATGATAAACAGTTTCAGTCAAATTCCAGCGAAATAACAGTTAGTAAAGTATTTTTTGGTTTACACCACAAGTCATGCCTTAAGGCACACTGTCAAAAAAAAGGAAAACTAACACTGCAGGCATTTCGCTCCAAAAAGAGTTTGGATTACAAATATCCCATTTAGGGAAATCAGCAGCAATTCACCTATTTCATTTACTCAGGGCGATTCTTAATAGGCTATTATTAAAATTCTAACATTGCTCAGGGGCTAGGGAAATAAAATAAGTTTATGATTCATACCCTAACCTCAATGTGACTTCTTTTGTTTTATTCCCCCAAGCCTCTCAGCTAATTTTGAAGTTTAGTATATAAAAAATGGCCTATTATCAACAGTAACTGCCTCCTTAACATTAACTTTCATTTGTTCAACAATTCTGGTCCCAATTTGAATTATTTAATGATCCCATTCTATCCCAAGTTAAATTTTCTTTTACAGTGACAATTAATTGCACTGTTTGGCAAGATGAAGGAAGGAACCATGTCTGACTGTTAACAGAGACATCAATGTTGGCTACTGTACTAATCTCTGTACATTTATACATATTGTATAACCTATGTTAATAAAATAATATCAGATAAATGTTTTGTATTGGTCAAAATAATCAGCTTTTTACACTTGGGTTGGAATTGAATGTAGCAGGGTCATCTCCTTTGTCACTATGATCATGACTATGTCTGTGGCCTTTCTTTTTGTGGCCCGTGCAGTAAGAGTTGTGCTTACATCCATCATCCTCACTATCACTTTCTGATGAGGAGTCTCCAAACATCTTGGGCTTTGAATAAATACAACAACCTACACAAGGGTGGGAGAGAACAAACCTGAGTCCCAGTTGAGGTTTCAAACCTTTGAACTTCTGATTTTACAAACCAGTGCTCTACCAACAAAGCTGCCTAGAACTCACTAGTAAGACAAGCCATATCCTGATTCAATGTGTGTTAGACATCTTGTGTACTACTAGGATCAGCAAAGTATAGGGAAATTTTATGTAAATATATAAGGAGATGATGGATTGTCCAATTAAGGTGTAGAACAAATAATGATAGGTAAAAATGAAGAACAATGAGAAAGAGGAAAGAACTGCTTATTGAGACCCATGTTCACTCATGTTACATTTAAATAAATAACCTTGTTTACTTCTTACATTTTGATGTTTTCTTTCCCATAAACTCGTTATCTACTGCACTTTCATCCCATTGCACCTTCTTCTCTGATTTGGGTTTCTTTAGTTTCAGTACAAGCCTCTGTTGCTGTGAGTAAAATTTAGCCTTGCATTAATATTTTCCCATTGAATTTAACCTTTACAACTTTACTTTAATTAAAAATGAAAGAGTACATTAATACCAGTGTCATGGAATTAAATTAAGTGAAAATCAAAACGTGTTTTGGCACAAATTTTGACTAGGAAGCAGTCAGAAATATCTCAATGGGAGGACATTCAACAGGGGCAGGCAATGAGTAATAGGTGTTGTTTACACCATGCTAAGGGATACTTGAAAGCCTACAGCACAATAATAGATGGCTTGACAGAAGTTTGAAATTACTCTTTTGTGTCAGAACTTGGAAACATGATCTTATCAACCTGCGAAATGAGCAATTACACCCAAATGTACCTTACATAATATTTCAACTAGTAGCGACAGGAACTTGTCAGCACCCAGTGAATGCTTAATAATATTTGAAACCAGTATTTCATCTATTATTTTTATTCCTTTAGCAAGATGCTTATTTTAATTTTTTTAAAGCTACTTTGAAACCATCTAAACCTAAGATTTCATTCAGATTGCAAGATACAGAAGAATCAATCCGCTGTGCCAGTGGTTTAAAATTTATGGTAAACCCGACCGATTTCAAGAAGAATGATTTGCTTGAGACGATGAAGTATGCAGTACATACCAATGGACTCTCATTCGTTTCCTCAATAACTGTGACAGTACTACCACTACTACTTTCGGGACATTCTGCCATGCTTCCTTCGACGGTAAGACTCGCTCACTTACAAATACATCGAAATACCTAGCTTTGCGACCAAGCAATGTGACAGTCTAGGTATGAATAGTAGGGTAGGGTAGGGTATGGAACGTAATAAACCCTATTTTGTTCAGTTGTATACTTTTTCATACAATCGATTCTTTCTTATTTCCAAATGCTTCCTTATTATGTTAGGACCACTATTTCACTGAACGTAGGTAATTATAGGCATAGACAACGGAGGACACTCGGTTATTAGTCGAATAGTTTTGCTGTACCAGCCACTGACAACCCCCTCCCTTCCGATATATTGTTTTGTTTTGTTTTGTTTGTTACGTCGTAGAAAGTGACGATTCGCTTTAAGATGGAAGATTTCTTTGATGTGTTGATGAAGAAAATCAAAGAGGACGATTTCTACACTCTGATAGGATGTGACGAGCTGGCAACTGCAGAGCAAATTAAAACTGAGTTTCGACAAAAGGTGAAGCTACTTCATCCAGACAAGAACCCTGGCGATGAAAACACAGCGGAGTTGTTCCAAAGGTTTGTATAATTACGGGGTTTAATTAAATCATAATTCCCATGAATAGTCTCTTCATTACTTAGAATAGTCAAGGCTGTTGATTTTAACAAAATATACCAGCCTTTAGATACTTTCAGGAGATTTTTAATCAAATTTTTGCAGAGGAAACAGATGTAATTTGGCAAATTCTACTACTAGGTGATTTTCAATGCGGGTTACCCTGGTAGTCGCCGTTACAAATTTACGAAGATTGTACTTGTGGCAGGTGTATCTTCTCTTGGTAGTTTTTAACTTAATAGTTAATACCTCATGATGTGTTTTAGTCCGAAACAATATGTACATATCTTTAAACTAAAAGAAGAAAGAATATCGTTTAGTATTTTGCATAATATTTCGTATTTGTTTCACAACAGGCCACTTTAAATTATGCGTTGGAGGCGTTAGGAGGGCGTGTCAGTGATGCAATCCTTGTGCGTCACAAAAGGGAGATACGCCAACATTCTCAAGTTGTGTGCACTCTCACAAGAGAGCATCTGAGGCAGGCTAAGAAATGATACTAAGGCACTGCCAATTTTAACAAGTACTCCCGGAGAAATGGCGCAAATATTCAATATCTACCTTTTGGCACTGCCGATTTTAACAAGTACTCCCGGGGGAATGGCGCAAATATTCAATATCTACCTTTTATTCTCAGTTTACAAAAAAAATTCTATTGCAGATTGCAAAATGCCCGTAATATTCTGTGCGACGAGGAAAGCAGGAAAAAGTATGACTTTTGGCGCAAATCAGGAATAGCTGTACCTTATGATCAATGGATAGAGCTGAGTGGAGCAGCACATTCATCATTACACTGGGCTGCCAAACCAAGAAAAGAACTCATGCTTGACTACGGAAAAGGTGAGTTACAACTCAAGGGTCTCCTCTGGCATGGGTAACAGATAATTTCATGGGGTTTTGAAATCATCCTAGCTGAAAAAGTATTTAATCCCTATGTCAAAAATTCTGTTCCTACGTTCTGTTCAACTACAAATAAATTAAGTAATCTTGGGAAATTGCAAGAGTGCTTGAGAATCTTCTTGTAGCTTTACTTAGCTCTGTCATAGTCATTAAGAGCACACTCTGACTTTCTGAAGTTTTTTTTTTATATTTTTTACTTTAGTTGAAGAAAATCCTCTTGACGAATTCTTTGATGGGAACCTTAAGGCAAAACACTTAGTGTCACCTAATGATGACATTTTCAAAGTCACAAAGTTGCACAAGAGACATGGATGGGGTTCCAAGCAAGGGAGACATATCAGCAAGTTTAGAAGATATGAGATATAGGACAAATTCACTCTCAATAATGTAAGTAGTTTGGACAATCAGTACACCTGTTCATAGAGGAAACTAGAAAGGGCTTGGTATGAATCAATAGTTTGTGAAATTCTGCAACACTGAGTATGGGTTGGATAAAAAATTTTTGGCAGGAAACAGGAGATTGTCAATTCATGGCTTTTTGTTCTATCAGAATTGTTTGAAAATTTCAAGGTGGATCAGGTTCCTCTACTGCAGAGCTTTAAAAATTATTTAGTAAGCTAAATAGAATATCATAGTACAGAAAGAGCCATCTTACACTTTCTCTTCTTAAGTGGAACATGAAAGTGAATCTTGTCAATGACTGATTGTTCCCTTATTTTTTTCAGGCTAAACAGTTTCATGCCATGTATATTGCCAACACTAAGTGACTTGTTCCAAGTCATTCAAACTTTTACTTAATTTTAAGACAGATTTATCTTTTTGTTGTGAATTGTGTTTGCCTGTTTTGTTTTCTACAATGTATTTATTATATCATTCAGAGTTAAAAATGTGAATTCTTAAGATTTAGAAGATACTCATAACTTTGTAAGTAATGTTGTAACATGAAGGAAAGAACTTGCAAGTCTTGATCAGAAATGCAAAAGACATACAGATTTACTAACACTCTGTATAATCAATGAAAATAAATCTCATTTATGAAAGTTTCATTGATATTCCAGTTGTCTCCTTACACACCACAAGACTGAAGTTTGTCTTTGTCTATAAAGAAGAGTCCTTACGAAAATGATATAGGGCACTTAATCTAATCTCCTACTTTTTCCCTCACCTCAGGTTCCTGTGTATCCCCTCTACACGGGTACTTTTCGTAAAATTATTCTATTTGAGCAGGACACCTTATTGATTCCTAACAATTAGACATTGTGGCTTTTGAATTGAACCATTTGATGAAATCTCTGAAATAGGTATTGGGTATGTGCTGAAATAGTTAAATCTTGGTTCTAGTGTCTCTGTTACTAAGTTTTAATAATATGAGACCACTTACAAACTGAATATGCACTTCTGTCCACTAAAATCTTAAATTTTTGCTTAAGAAATGTAATCCATACTAAAAGCAATGGATGCTTTGTTTAGTGCCTCCCTTATGGTTAGAATGGACAATACTTCAACACCAATTCCCAGCAAACCAGATTCCTGGCACATATCAACAACCAACAGCCATCTGTTTGAATCCATATTGTCACTCCTAGTCTCATTAAACAATGCATCTGTCATCACAGTAGATAAGTCATCAGAGCTGCTCTGAGAGAGATGCTTTAACAAATTCACTAACATCTCAGGTTTGTTGTCATCTAAAAATGCTCCAACAACAGATGCAAAACTTAACAACCCAACCCTGCCATTAGTACCAGGACTACTGAGCATAAGCTTTGCTAGTTCTGGAGAAGGATTCCTCAGCAGGATTGATCTGAAATCCTCTGTTGTGAACTTTGCATGCTTCTGTGCATAATTCAACATGATTGAGAATTTTCCTTGCCTGCAAAGACAAGCAACAACTTGATGATGCGCACCAACTTTCATGTAAACAGTTTGTGCCAAAGGAATACAGGTGCATGAACATTTTTTAAGGCATTTGCAGAAGTTGCAAAAAGCATCGCCAAGAGGAATAGAAAATGTTAACTTCTCCTGAGCAAGCCAATGGGTAGCAAGGTCCAGACGTCCATCACTGAGCGCACAGCGGATACATTCAGAAGACATAGCTCCCGTGAGAGGTTGTGCCGCTGATGCTGTGGCCATCAAAGCATCACAGAACATCAAAAGAGGTGACACCTCACCTTCCTTACATTCAGCTTGTTTGAATTTGATCATGGTTTCATAAGATCTCAGAATTCCCATTGGTGAGTTGGCAGCATGCATTGCAGCCAATTCAAACTGTCCAAAATCAAATAAATTGTTGAAGTGATCAACATACTCAATCAAAAGTTCTGCCTCTTTCTTCTTTAAGGGATCATCCTCATCAAAGCTTGCAAAGAACTGTAAGGAATCACTCTTCTTCCCATACTTGCTGTTACCATAGTTTGCTAGCTCTCGAAATATAACATCAATAACATGAACATCCTGGTCTGGATTATCTACCACTGTTCTTGCTGCCTGTTCATGAAATAAAAGTAAGTACAAGTTATTACACTTTTAATCTCTCTCAGAGATTGTCTCTCTTTTTAGGGACTTACTAAGATTAACTAATTATCTCTGTCTTACATGATCTTAATCAGCCTGTACTAGGCTGACCTGATTACCCAAGATTGTAATGCATTTTTTTTAAAGCAAAAACAGAGTTGACATTGTAAGATACAACATACTGAAATTTTGGTACTACAGCAAACCAAGCTGTCTGTGTTGTTAAACAATGACTTGAACTGGGCAAATACTGCTGATAAATATCAACTCCTGAGAGAACTTGAACACACAACCAAATAGAGGTGGGGATCTTACCTCAACAGCAACCTTTAGGGTCTCACATCTTTCTTTTGATTTCTCATGCTTGGCAAACACATGATCTCTCACATTTTCCTTCTTTGTGAGCTGTTGTTTCAAAATCAGTTTCTGGTTTCTCTCAGCAAACTTAGATTTTGTAGCTTCCTTCAGCTCCCATACTTGCGCTTCTAAACTAGACAGTGTCTTCTTCAAAGTGGGTAAGTCGGTGAGATCTTTCAGAGACAAGCCAGGAATCAGAAGCCTTGTCTCTTTAACAACAGAATGCATCGATTTACTTTCTGCAGAAGCCAGTCTCCGAGCTCTCTCTGCTCTTATGATGTGGAGTTTCTCCCTTAATTGGGCATTATGCTTTTTAAGTTTTGCCATTTTCTCTTCAAGTTCATCGCCCCTCTGGACAAAATGCCTTACATTTTCTTTCTCCGACAACAGAGCCTTGAGCATTCTCTGAAGATAGATTGTCTGGCTCTGACCTCTCTCCAGAGTATCAATGAACTCCTCATACTCTGCTTTAATCTGTGACAAAATCGACTTGTAAACCACAGCTTTGCTTTCAATTAGTTGATTAAATGCATATTTAAAAACCATGAACAACTCTTGCCGGCTGTGCTCCGGGTGATACTTGACTTGACGAAGCTGATCAGCAATATTCCACTCAATAACTTGCAGATCAGCACCAGAAGAAGCCTTCGAGAAAGAGGTTTTCCTCTCTCGAACATCTCTCGCACTGAGAGGTGAATGAGTTGACACTGGACTTGGTGATCTTCTGGGTTGAACTACTCGACGCATGATACCCTATGAAGAACAAATATGGATTTCCAAAGTAATAGAATGACCTTTATTCAATCAAAAGTCAGTATTCTCCGCCATGTTTGTTCCTTCTCTCCGTTGCCACAGCTGACTTTTTGTCGCCATGCGAGAATAAAAGACCCTCCCTGATTGGTTATTTTAATTAATTGACCAATCAGAAGGCGACTTCTTCTTGAAACGTTTGTGATACTTAGGTATACTGTATTGGTAATTGGATCAACAATTTACTAATGATCGAAGATGGCGGACGAGAGTATTCAAGCTTTTCCGACTGTGTCTTCGGACGTTACTGAAGAAGAACAAAATCTATCTTTAAAAGAGAAGATCAACTTAGTCGACAGTGAGATTCGTAAGCTATATGAGTTTTGTGTCAAAGCCGGTTACACTCAGCCACAAATAGAGCAATGTGCACAACCTTTACTTGCTGTCCAGAGCAAGGAAAAACACATTCACTGGCTTAGATTGTTGTTTTCATTTGCTTTGCTGGCGGCATTGATCGTCTTCTTGTTTTATTATGATCCCACCTACCGTAAAATCTGTATTTATGGCAAGTTCGTAGCTATGAAGGTAAAGCACTTTTTTTTTTCCAGTATTTCCATGTAGGTTTTGTATACGCCTTAAAGGTTTGAAATTTACTTTGCTTTTGGCTTACCAATAATTTCCGTAACGTTTGAACGTAGTCGAAAATATCAACTTCTAGAACAGGGAAGCTTTAGAGGCAATCTTTTTCCCTGAATTGTGTATGTATGTAATTGTTTCCTTTTTAACCAACAATTGTATGGATAATGAAGTGCTGTTACAGTAAATTATACAAATAAATTTTGCCGAGTGTTTTTCACTCACCAAGGTAAATGACTATTTACTTGGTTGGTAATGGATATCTTAAGGTCTTATTGGGAAGACTTCTGTATAATCCTTTACTTTATTATGTATACAGTACTTGCAATAAAGAAAACAATGGTCAAGATTACCTTTGAGACTATGATTTTGATTTAGAAAAGTATGGGGTTACGCAGGAATATTTCTGTCTTAATTCTCATTTTCTTTCTGTGTAGAAGACCATTTCATATCTTCCTAGGGCAAAGCCAAAATTTACTCAGCTAAAGTTTATCAACCAAACATTTCTTTGCAAACAAAAACTTCTTATCCTAATTTTACCAACCTTTTGTTTCTTTTAGGTTCTACCATATTGGGACTGGACAGAAATTTACAACTATGAATGTGTCATTGACAACCCTTACTATGTTCAAGATCAGCTAACTGAAGAGGATTGTAATGCATGCAAAGATTTCCAAACAGTAATGAGGGTAGCTAATATTAGTACCAGCAGAGTAGCTGATGATTTTCTTTTTTCCAACATTCCTGTGATTGTCACTGATGCTATGGATGATTGGGAAGCTCTTAAAATGTTTCATCTCAATTTCTTGACTGAGGTAATCAAATTGATATTTTATTTAGCAAATGTACAGGAGTTTTACTTTAGTTTAGTTATCTTTCTTGTTTATGCCTTTTCTTTGTTTTTATTTTGTCAAGGATATTACTTCACCCTAGGACTTGCTGATATCAGCATTCTGTTTCTTACTATTTTATTTATGGAAGTTATTTTACCAACCAAAATCACTGATTCTTTTTGCATGAAGATACATGGGCAATATTAATGAAGAAAAAACTTTGAATCTTGTCTTCAGATCTATGAAAACAATGAAATTTTAAAATACTCCGGCACAGAATGCCAGTTTGAAACAACCTTACCACAGTACCAGACTCCTCAGCAACTGCTTTCGGCTGTTAAAAGTGGGGAAGAACAAAAATTTCAGGCCTTCTGGTAGGAAAGTATTAACTGGATTTTACTGTTGTGCTATAAATTGTAGAAAAGTTTTGCTAACCCAGGCTCTATACAATTCTATGGTTTGCAAAAGTTAAGTCCACAATCCTCTCCCAAGTCCCTTTGAAGGATCAAAAAACTACATTAAAAAATAAAAATCAAATCTGTTACCCATGCAAGAATTAAATTCCTTCTTTAATTACTGGACTTGCACATTTATTCCAATATCAGGGAGAATTGTGAGAAAGAAGCTGCCAAATTGTTTAGAAAGTATTACCGACGTCCCTACTTCATGCCACCTATGACAGAGGGAACAGAAGGGAACTGGTTCATAGTCTCCTTGGGAGAAAACAAAACTTTAAGTGTGAGTTTTCATTTGCTTATCTAATTATGCATTAATTTAATGAAGGCTTTTGAGCTGTTTGTAATGTGGAGCAAAACTCAGTGTGCCACTTTGTAATATTGTACTATCTCAAAGAAGTCTTTTTATTTGAAATATTTTCATTTTTGTTTTTCAAATCTTTTTACTTTTTTCCAGGTAAACTGGGATTGCTCAGCCACTTGGATGGCTCAGGTATGAGGTGAAAATCTGTTCAGTTTGTGACACAAACAAACGTAAAGAATAAGAGAATATATTAGGACTTTATATTCACATAGCAATGCAAACTGTTTTACAGTCATTGATAAAAATATTATTATGACCCACTGGTCAAGAAATTGAATGAGTACTGCATAACTCAATCCTCATAACTGCCTTTCTCCTTTTTTAAGGTCAAACAAACTGCAAAATTCATTTTGAAACCAAATGAAGTTTGTAAAAGTATTTGCCGTAAAGTTTTGGTGAAGGTGGAACCAGGAGAAGTTTGTGAGTTTAAGAGTTTTACATATATGTATTCAAGTTCAGCCTCTGTTTTATCAGAGTCATATTTAAAATGCAAAGTTTTGGTTCAATGAATCATGTGCCATTCTTGAATAAAACATATCACTGTGAAGACCTACAACCAATTATTTAAGTGTTCCATTTTTCAGTGACTGTCCCTAACAGCATGTGGAGTGTGTCATACAAACCAGTTGGAACCGATCCAGTTGTTACCTTTGGTTCAGGAGTAACTTGGGATTGAAGTTAATCTCTTGGCTTATGTAATTTTTCACATGTAAATTTCTCTGACACCAATTAAGTTGTAGATTAAGAGGATTTTCTACCTTAAATCCAGAGTGAAAGGAAATAAAAATGTGAGCTGTAACAAATTGTTGTTGTTTTACTGTTTGATGAGTACTTATGTTAACTCTTCAAAGTAATTATGCTAATGAATTACAGAGCGGTACCAATAACTAGCACAATAACTATTCACTTATCTAGAGCCCTCTATAAACTATAGTCTTAGTGCACTACTGCACAACTCACAGTTCTCTTCAAATATCCTTGAAACTTATTGATATCCACACAACTCTTCTCCAACGTAGCCTTCCACACAGCTGACAATTCCAATGACAATAAAGAATCCCAACGATTCATGCTCTCCAGCTCTGTAATAACGCTAGCTTTGCTCTCAAAGAAAGGCTCAATCAAGAAAAGGCTAACTTTAACTAATCGCAACTCCTTATATATGTTTTTCAAAATGTTCTAGAACATTCCAGAGATCTGTAATACAACTATTTTTAGTAACATTACATTGCTATTACATAATAAGAAATTATGCTGACTAAGGGTCCTAGAAAGTTCCATTAAGGGTTCTCAATGAGTCAGCATGACTAAGCCTTCTAGAAACTTCCTCAATTCTATATTTAGTAATTCCATAACACAACACACTCTCCATAACACTGTATTTCCTTGAATTTGCATCCTGGTTCCTAACCCAAATATGGGGGGAGCACTCATTGGAAGGAGGGTGGTTACTTGAGGGAGGGAGCCTATTAAGAGATTATTAACCTAAATTGATTCTATTGTAGTTGAAGCTTAAAAAGTTTTTATTAAAGTGACAATAGAAGCAGGTTTTCCTTTTATTCCAACTAAGAGAGGGGCACTTGTAGCAACCACCTTTCAGTGTGAAAGGGGACAGGAGAACATAGAACCACAACTCATCAGTCTGACAATCCAGCTGAAACTGTTTAATCCATCCACGGTGTATGGGGAATTACAATCTTAAAATAGCTCTTACTTGGTGTAGAAGGCACATTATATGTCACACTATTGTTTTCATTGTTTTCTTATTTCTGGTTGTGATGAAATTCTACTGTGACGTACTCTGTGTCTTCTACACCAAGTAAGAGCCTTAAAATATCTGCTGAGGCTCCAGTAACTGCTGTCAAAGACTGTGATAAACCACAGTGAAAATAGAAGCTTCGGGTGAAGCAAACACTGAGCAAACAGAAAGGCTCTAGGTGAAGCTTCAAAAACACTAGCGTAATCAAGAGTTATTTTAATTTTGACGAACCACGGGACGTATAAAACGTATACGTATTGGACGTATAAAACTCTTTTGTCAGTCGTTTTATATTTCAAGGTATTTAGATTACGATCACTCGGAGTGTCACGGCGCAAACGCTCAAAATACTTACAGACGCATACACAAATCGTATTGTTCGCGGCCAATCCACGCTAATCCACCATTACTGTTATTCACGTCATCTACTTTTATTACGTTGGTAAAATCTGTACAGACATCACACCAACCAACTCGCGCGCAAAGTAAGAAGACTATATCCGTTTTAGTTTCTGGCGATTTCTGCCGTTTTAAGCTTGCTTTACCATTACTGTTATTCACGTCATCTACTTTTATTACGTTGGTAAAATCTGTACAGACATCACACCAACCAACTCGCGCGCAAAGTAAGAAGACTATATTAAAGGCTTGAAATTATAGTACGATCGACTTTCATCAAGAAATGGGCCAGGAATTTTCCACAATAGTGCAGATAATGGTGAAGGCTGATCGCGGAAAAGCGATTGCGTGACGCTCGGTAAGCTGTAAGATGACATGTTATTACATACCAGACGTAAACACTCTTCAGATTCTCCGTCTGCATTTTGTACCCACTCTGCAGTCTGCAGTATATATTTTGTATCCGGTCTGCAGTCTGCTGTCTGCATTTTGTAGTAACAGGTATCCGTGGCACCAATACAGTTTATTTTTGGTGACATTTATTCGCGCAACACACATAATTTACCACAAAATACCTGTGTGTGAGGTAATTCGACATTTTCGTTCTTTTCCGCGTTAATACTCTTCTTACCTTTGGTAAGAATGTAGACCACTAACAATGTTTCAAGTAATCCACCCACCCTACAAAAAATAACTCTTGCGTGCAGAGCATGCCTGTGTTTTGAAATAGGTTTATGCCTTAGCCAGACTTGAGCTAACTATTTCAGTATACTAGTCCGACACCCACAGTATCACTACACTTGATTCCAAGGATCCAGTACCATCCAGGTATCCCAGTTACCCTGCTCACAGGGTCTAGTTGGTGGAAATATGGTATCCAGAAGTGGAATTTTACAATATATCAGATCACCCTTTACCCAAAGCTATGTTTTCCACAATGCAATCAGTCTCCTTTACAATTAATTGTCTCATCACAAAACATGTTTGGCGAAAGAGTGTGTTCCATGGTAAGACTTTGCGACTTAAAAAAGAATTGCTAGAGGCGAATGCGATGCAGAGGGAAGGGGATTGGGGTTGAGAATTTGACTATGGTTAAACATTAGTATATAGAATACATGAAGCATCTGGCAAAGTAACTAGATACCGCAGTTGTAGCATGGCCTCAACTGGCCACGCATCGAAGCTACTTGTCAGTGCAAAGCAGTGGAAATGGGTAGACACAGCTCAGATTCCGAGGAGGATAGACGAAGGAAACACAGATCTTCGAGGAAACGTCACAGAAGAAGCAGGAGTCGAGAACGGAGGAAACGGTCGCGGTCTCGAGAGAGAAAACGAAGTCGATCTAGAAGCAGTAGTTATGAGGACTACAGGCGTAGCAGGTTCGAAGAGTAATATATTTACTAGTTATCCCTTCCTTTTATAGATCAAGTCAAATTGAGAATAAATACCCTGTTAATTCTCTAAATTTTCTTATTTTCTCCCGTGTTTCTTAACAGATCAAGTCGAAAAGGTGAGGGAACTATTTCTGAAGCTCCATCCTAATTTACCAAATTTTAAGCTTAAATATATGATCTTATTTAAAACGATGAGTAAAAAGGCTGCTTACCATCATATACTTGCTATTTATAGAGGTGGAAGTGAAAATGATGTTTTATTATTTTTCGCACTTATTTTTAACCTTTGAAGTACAATCACTTCCTCAACATTTTGTAAAACCAGGCTAAATTGTAAACATAAATTATGCAGTGTCTGAAATCACAGTTTTGAAATACTTATGAGCGCTGGTTGTTGTGTTTGTTGAGGAGTAGGAGTATCATTGGGTTCCTCAATCAGTTCAAGGAGGGACATGGGGAACATGCTGCTTGTTTCCCCTTCTTAGCCACCACCCTCCCCCTCTCACCTTAGCTTTCCACCACCCACCCCCACCCTAGCTCTCCACCACCCCCTTCACCTTAACTCTGCAATCTTTGTAATGTACATCTAACATGGTAGACCTCATAACCTTGACCTTTGCAATCTATGAATGATATTCTACTACAGGTCACAGATTTAGTCGATCAAGCAGTAGTAGAAGCACTAGCAGTAGTTCCAGTGGTGGTGGTTGGAGAAAAAGTAGGAAAGATAAAAGGTGAGGGATGGTTGCATTAAATTGTGTGATGTTGGTTAATTTTTTGATCCTAAATGACCTCTAAGCAAGGCTGACATAGTACATTTTTTAATGAAAAAGGTGATGAATAAAGTAACAGAATTTGTATTCTCTGCTTTTTTGTTGAATTGGCCAAGACTCCAAAACTGTATCTTGTGACATGTATCTGTAATACATGAACCAAAGGTAGACAGAGTGGATGGCTACTCATGATAGTTTTTTTCTCTGAATACATAGGGATTCAAGTTCACAGGTGAGTGAGTTTTTAAAACACATTTCAAATGTTTTTTGCTATAAACATATCCCAACACAAGGAAAGAACTGAAAGTAAAGGCTTATATTCTGTCATTATATTATTAACTGTGATGATTGTCCTTTCTTTAACATCTTAACTATGCAGTCCAAAAATGCAATTTTCATATCTCCTCTTTAATTGCTGAAAAGTAAGCAGGAAATTTTTTAGTAATTTTTATATGAGGTAGTTTAGGGCAGCGACACCAAAGCAAATCCAAAATACTTGGGATACTTGATATTCAAACTCTTTTTATAATACAAAACAATCAAAGCAAGTTCTTTTTTAGAGTAATCCTCCATTCTTTCCATATCACTACTGCTTCTAAAATTGCCCTTTGCACCTTTACATAAAAAAATTGTTGTCTTACTTCAATTCATTGTTACTTTCTTAAAGCTCACAAAAGAAAAGACTAAAGCAAAAATGAAGAAAGCTTTGGCAAAAGCAGGTAAGCTGTGATAGCGCAAATACATTTATTTTTCACCTACACATTTTAGTATAAAACTGTTAATACTCTTTTCTTTGACAATTAATTGTACTTTAACAGAATCTAAAGATGAAATACTCAAAAGGGATAAAGCTGCCAAGGAATTAAGTGAGTTCTATTACCATTTTTTTATTATAAGTCTCATTCAACAATAATTGCTTTCTCTTTGACAATAACGTTTATTGACTGCTTTATTTAACAGGAGAGTTTGCACCTAACAAAGACACAATATTGCAAATAGAAAGCAGTGAATTTGTGCCTCAGTCCTTCAGCTCATCTTCTGGCTCCAAAGGTCATCAGGTAACATTATACACTTAATGTATGGTCCCGAGGGAAACAGTTAGTTTTGTTTTCCCAGGAGTCCTGATGTTTCCTGAGACAAAGACAAGGGAAACATCATGACTCGAGGATAAACAGAACTAACTAGTTTCCCAAGGGACCATACATTAAGTCCTTTGTTACATATTAAGACTTTCCCTTAAACAATCATGTGGCAAAAACATGCTGTTGTATTCGGCACATAGACAACAACTGGTCAGGATACATTTGAATTTGATCAGGGACACATGACTAAGAATCAACCAATCGCAATGCTCATTTTGTTGAGTGAAAGTCTAGGTATATAATAAAATCTCTTGACAGCCTGAAATCTTGCTGAGTATCTTAACAGTTTGTAACATTCATGGTTTCTTTCATTCTGACAGATAGGTGGGAAAAATATTGATGGTAGCCATGAAGAAGCTATGTTTGGTGTTGGTGGAGCAGTGCCAGAAATTTCATCCCCAACTGTAGCTACAGCAGAGTTGAAGACTGCTCCTCAATTAGTTATATCACAAACTTCTGATAAGGATGGACTGTTTGCTTCATGGGTGAGATAATGAAGCATCTATTAAGATATGTTGATACTTGTGTTTGGGATGTTATTGAGAAAATTTTGTCTTCGTCATCAATGTCTGTAACTGTATGATTGTGCAACACAATCTATTTTAAAAGAGCTTGTACAGTGTATGTATGACTTACTGTGCCAACTTGCTGTTGTTGTAGAATTCATGAAGTGACTGTAAACTGACTGACATTTAGGAATGTTTACAGCTTTCCAAGCACTTTACATCACAATAACCCATGGTGTGGTAAAAGGCAAATAAATCTGAACAACTGCAAACTCAGTTTTGTTTCTCTAAGTGCAACCAAGATCTTTATGACATATATTTTACAAGTTTATAGATGCACTCTTTGATTATGGATTAGACTAATAAAACCATGAACTTGGACAACATTTTTTCATGGGTATTTTGCTTCTCATTTCAGCTTCATGAAGATGAAGAAACCAAGACATCTCGCTGGATAACTAAATTAAAAAAGATGCGACAAGAACTCTTGGCAGCCACCTAGCTACAATGTTAGTGGCTATATCCTTTTTTTTCTGATAAAAATACATTCAAGTAATTTTTGTATCAGCATGTTGTATTGAATATAAAAACAATCTATTTTTTAGCTTGTTTTCCTAAAACAGTGTAACATCTTTAATGAGCCATTCCCCTTGTGTTCAACACAAAAAGTTTTTTTGGCAGATATAAACTCATGTAAGATTGTTTTCAAACTTTTCAACCATTTAGCTTATGGTAACAAAAGGACTCTGACTCTTTCTCTTCATAACAACCTATATCTAGAGTACAAAAACGTCTGGGTCATCACAATGTTGTAATAACTTAACTTAGTAGTATTGTAGAGAACTTAAGCAATATTTTTACAACTTTAGAACTTATCCTAGATAAATTTTCCTATGAGACCTTGTGTCAGTCTAAGTCAAATCTTCTGCAATACAATTGTAAGCCATAAAGATGACCTGAATAGTGATAGGTTTTTCGAAACATGTTCAATATCATATATAGATAAGTTTCGTATATTTATATCACAGATGTGTGTTACCTTTGTCAGTAGAATACTTGCAGAGAACACTAAAACATGTTACAGACATTATAGCCTCGATGGAAACCTAGTATAAACTTCATCTAGAGATATTCTCATCATTTCTAAAATGTGAACTTTGTAAAAAAATAAAATTTCAATTAACCTTAGCTGTTGTCCAGTTTTGATTGATAGTGGTGGATTCTATCAATCTGTAATCGAACTATTCAGACGGAAAACGCTAACTGGTCTGTAAAAGAGTCACTCATGTAACAATTTCTTTTAAAATGGTCAGTTGGTACTTTGTTTTTACATCAGCAGTCGTAATCACACAGCATATCTTGAACGTAAGCATAGATGACGAATGCGACATACATGGTAAAAAATGAAATACCAATTTTTCTGTTCAATTTAAAGCGCACGCTGGCGAAAATCCCAAGGGCTACGATCAAAATGAGAAGCAAAATGAAACCAAATTTGACGTGTGGCACCACTACAAGACTTCCTGACGATAACATTTCCTGCAAGAACATATAAATTGAAAATTAATTGAGAGTTAAAAATAAAGAAATAATACCGATATGTGGAAATTTTTAAAACAGAACAATGATGAGAAATTAACAGACTCAGGAAGAAATCAGGTGCTAAATATTTTTCACGGAAGACGCTCCTAAAAGAGGAGAGTTAAGTGTATTCTTCACTAAAGTTACCCTAAAAAACATTGCTTTTGTTTATCATCTTTTGATGGCAAAGATGCGAAAAGTACGAGTTGATGTGAAAACTCCATTGATTTTACCTCTTCCTTTGGTGTTAGAAGTCGGATAGGTTGAAAGTTATCAATTATGATCCTGATAACAAATGGTAAGCCAATACCAAGGTTGATGTCAAATACATTCGATCCAATGGCGTTTGAAACGGCCATATCTCCAAAACCATCCCGTGCGACAATGATGGAGCTTAAAGCATCCTGAAAAAAAAAGCAAAATAATTCAGTTATGAAATTGATCTGTAATTAGCACAACGTTTGAGTGTTTGACCTAATCAGAAAAGGTAACAGGTTCGTTTATCTGTAGAGTTTTTTTTTTATTTGAATGTGCAATGTGGTTTCGTTTGATTACTTCTCTGTTTAGAGGTAGCTTTCCTTACAAAGTCGAAAAAAGTAAGTCTGCACTTGAGCCCAGTGGCCCACCCAATCGGAGCTTATCCCTTACCGTGAAGCGAGTAGGAGTATTACTACTTTCTTCCTCTCCCCCCCCCCCTCCCCCATGGGATGCTAGTCCAGCACGAGGTTTGGGATAAGGCACGCTAATGGGTTTGATCACCAGTGCTTAACCAAACAAAGCGTTAACAAAAATGCACGTCTTTTTTTCGAATGTCGATCGATGTTTTTTAAAACGTTATTTAATAAGCTGTGAATGAAGAAAAAAAAGAAATAATTGATAGGAAGACGCCTTAAAAGGAAAATTTTCCATTTCCAGTGTTAAGACTGCAAAAAGTTAAAACGTGACCACGGGATTCAATAACTTACCGGAACACTTGTGCCAATGGCTATGACTACCAATCCCATGGTAAACTTGTCCACGCTTAAGATGCACCCAGATCGTCCAACCAACGTCACCATGCCAAAGCTCAAAATGGCTATCCAAATGATAGACATCGTGAAAGAAGCTAGGAAGTATTTGCGGTTGTGTGGCTTACTACAGTCGGGAATGGTCCATGTAAACATACAGATGAAAGGAAAGCTCACAACAAATAACACCCATCCTAGCGAGTACTTAAATGGGGCCAAAACGCCTCCTTCCTCAGGGTACTCAGGGAACTCTGCGGATACTGCAGGTAGACACGGGCAAAGTTTCATTTTTGCCCCTTCTTCCCTATCCATTCGGACATCATTCTTGGGGTCCACGACAGATTTTGTCTCCGAGTCATCATCCATAGGTACTGTACGGGCGTTTCCGTTGGCGTCCACGTGAACAACAGAGAGTGTAGGCTGCTGGCTGACAACCATTTCGGAACGGCGTCTGTACTCTTTCATCACTTGTTTCTGTGCTACTGATTTAAGCCTGATTTTTTCTCCTGGAGCAGCCAATCCAGTAGAACTCCGTCGATGTGCCTTAGGATTGTCATAAAGTTCTCTTAGTCCCGGAAACGATACTGAAAGCCGCGGCTTGACTGGAGATGTCGAGTGATGGCTGCGTCCCAGGGATAGATTAATCTGTTTGTAAACGAAGATCCATCGCAAAGATAGACAGGAATGTTTGGTTGATCGACTGTTTTTAAAGTTTTGTGTCAGTTATAGGTTCCCTTTAGTGAAGCCCTAATAAATTTGCTCTAAGAGCAGTAACCAACTTGTGTAAGCTTGAATGACTGGCTGATGTCTTTTGTCTAGCTACAACACTTGTACCAAAAAGAAACACCCCTCTAGCAGGCTGTGTACAATCGCCCCCAACCTTCAAAGTGATTATTTTTAGGATTTGGAGTGACTGTTCATAGGCTACACTTTAGCACATCTGTCTAAGTTTCCTTTCTTTACCGCTAAGCTTCTTTCAGCTTCCTTTCAACTGTTTCATCCCTGAAGCGCAACCACCTCTCGTCCTGTCTGCCTCAACTATCTACATGGAAACAAATGAACTTCGCCGAGTATCAACTTCTGAACGTCTTTTTTGAGGAAGACTTTTCCAAACATTCATGATTTCCGAGACTATGATATTTACGAATTTCAGCTTTCTAACTGTTACTAATTACTCGTTTATTTTACTATTGCATAACGTGGATAAAGTTACTGTTAATGACGAGGACAAATGTACAATGGAACAAATTTATTGCTTGTCCTTATTGCCGTTAAACGAAAGCCCAGTCGTCCTATGAACACACTCTTTCCAACTTAGCCTTCTTTTTCTCGAACAGATTCTTTAAACTTGACTTAGAAATGTCTTGTCCATTTAGATGTAAGATTCAGAGATGCGAGAACATATACTAACTGGCTGTGAAATATGTGTTTATTTAAACTGATATCCAGGCTCCCGTTTACTTACAAATGATCTGGAGAGTTGTCCTTTGTTAGCATGTGAAAATCTCCTTTGATCACTAAGATTAGTCGTTAAAAGCACTTTTGAGTTAGCACCTTCATCTGCGTTACTTTCCTGAAAGAGAAACTCAACGTTTCAGAAATTCATAATGTTTAAAAACAGCTAGGTAGTAAAATGAGTCTCACTGAGGCTTAGATGAATTACTGTTTCTTCAGTTGTCTGCAAGGGGGTCCGTATATATCAAAAAAAAAAAAAAAAAAAAAAAAAAACGCTTCTTACCACAGGTCTAATGGGAGGAAGCTTTCCTGCAGGTACTCCTTGCCGACCTTGAAGAACAGCAACGGACGAGCTCAGTGTGTTGTGGTCTGACTGCACATCGATATCACTACTCACAAACTGTGTTACTTCTGTATTTTGTGGACTGACTTGTCCTCCCTTGTGTCTTGAAATAGAAACACAAAATATTTTTTGGCCTTCCAAAATTAAAGAGTTTAGGATATCAGCAAGCGCTGTTGAAACCATGCATTTAGGTGAGCAGTCTGGACTTGAGCTCTTAAGAAACGTTTTACTTCAGTTATTTTATATTCTTAAGACCAGTAAAGTTTAGAAGTATATTTTAACAACAATCATGTTGCAATTTTTTTGTGAAATTCGCGTCTTCATTAGTTGTCTAGGTCAATAACTTATATTATACTTGTTTTTTAGAATATATCGATTTCAGCATAGCATTAATAGGATGGAAAGTTACGAATAAAACAGTTTAAAATGTGTACAGAGTTGGTGTCGAGAATTCATGTTTATTAGTTGAATATTTTTTGTTTTAAAGTATGGAATCATTGTTTATCTTGTGAAGAGTAAATTAAGAAATCACTCAAACAGTAAAACTAGAAGTAAGTTGTACTAACAGTGTATAGGAAGCCAATGGAAGTTCTTCGTCCCTTGGGAACATTCTGATGGTGACCGGCAACAAGAAATAAAGCTGACCTCGTTAGAAAGTGTTTATATCTATGAAATTTTTTCTCCTTTAGTTTCTATTTTCAAAAATTGTTGATTTTATAGATTTTAGACAGTATGGTATTCGTGCTTTTCTAATTTTCGGTGCATTTTTTACTTTTCTATAACCAAGAAGAGGATAATTTTCCTCATTCAGTTTGTTTCATTGTTTACAGTTGACGAAAAATAAGTACCACGAGTATGCGTCGCTGTAATAACCGGTTAGGTCTATATTTATTGTTATTTATTTACAAGCACCAATATGCCAGTTGCCTATAAGAATCATTTTAAACATGAATAATCTAAATATTTATTCATTAGGTTCCATACTCAAACAGTGTCACGTACTTTGCCCCACTCATGAGATCCATAAGCTTTCTGTTAAACTTCATCAACACTATGTAAAGGAAGTAAAGGGCTAACAGAATGATTGACTCATGGAGCTCGAACTTGCCATCCCATGCAAACCAAGAAAAAAATCCGATTGATAGGGCGTAGCAGATGGAGTCCCTTATAAGCGGTTTCCAGTCCAGCTGAAGAACCTAGGAATTGGAAAAAATGGTCAACTTCATTTGTAATTGGTTTCTAACAGGTAGAGTTGTCCAAGGCTTTAAATAAAAATGACTTGGCAACTACTATTGCCGGACGTCTATGTGACTGAAGCTCACCCAAAACGTAGAATTGCCTAAAGAGTAATTTTGAACATTTTTTTCAGAAAATTTTGACTCTGTCAGTCTTCTTAAAAAAGTTTTGCAAGTAGAATCAAAAACCTTTGCGAATAGACTTCTTTCATAATGGTACCCAAGATAATTATTCTTTCATGTGTATGCGAATGAGCTTCGATTTTTCAAGAAAAATAGAATTGTTTTCATACATGACAAGAAGGGCTAATTTACATGAAGAAAAAAGTTTGTAATTGGGCCCGCCATTTATGGGAGAGTTCCACACAGATATAATCGCACACTCGAACGGATACTAGTTGTGAAAACTTAAAATGACAAACAAATTTTAAAAATATTACAAATATGGATCAATAACCCAAGCACACCTGTCCTGCCAAGGCCGCAGTCAAAGCAATGATGACGAGAAGGTTGAATACAGCACTCCTAGACATAACAGAGAGTTCAGCAGTGATATCATCGGGTATTAAACAGTATTTTATATAAGCGATTAAGCATATTTACGGCAGAAAAGTACGAAAGATTCCTCTAACCCTACTATTGTTCCAATTCCGACATCGCTTTCTACCGTTACTCCTGCGACAGAAGTAAATAGCTCCGGAGCAGAAGAACCTGCAGCCATAAAGGTTGCACCTGCCACATCCTCAGAAAGATCCAGTTTCTCAGATATTGCTTCAAGGGATGGCACAAAGAAGTCATCGCAAACGATAGCAAGCGCTATAAAAAGTAAAATTAAATAACGCTTATTTTCTATTATAACTATTTTGTGCAAATTACGTAACTCATAAAACCCTGAGCTAGAAGTGCAATGGATTCAGAGCAAAGGTAGGTGGTAAAGAAACTGTTTTCTGATTTCAAAACTTTCACATTTCTGAAAAAAAATTTATGTGATACTTTACTATCACTGAAAACACCTGCTCCAATAATCAACCGAAGTGAAGGCTGTATCTAAAATGTGAGGACGGACCTCAATAAACACTTTCATACTTTACCTACAAAAATGACGAGAACACAAAATATATGCAACGCTAGCCAGCCATATGCTTCTTTGGGAGCCCACCATGTTTCCCGAGTTGAATAGTTTCTCGAATGACCGATTTCAAAGTTGCAAGTTTCCCACTCGACACTTGATAACAGATGTCTTGATTGAAAAACTGATCCTGTGAAATGAGCACAAAGGAATACTATGTACTTATTGACTAAGGGAAAGGACCGAAGTGGTAAACATTTGGCTCCGAGCTCAGCGAGGTCCTAACGAGAGCCAAATATTTTCCCGTGCGGCCCGACCTGGCTTGGTCATCAAGCATTTCATCATTTGACTGCTGCCCTTTATCTTTCTTCCTTTCTTCTTGCTTCTTGCAGCGCTGCACGACCTTTTCCCGGCCCTAATCACGCCATCGCCTACGAGTCTCATTGGGAAATTTTTTGTCTAGTACGTATTTTCAATAGAATTCCGGGCCGTGCGAGTCTCATGATAAAATGGTTATGTGTTAATCGCAAGAAGGACCATCAAATATCCATCCCCTCTCGCACACTTTTTTATATAATGCGACACTTAACTTGCTTTTTCTTCACTGAAGAAGAGTAATTAGAAAACAAAGTAAGGAACAGAAGTAAAGGCACTGAAAAAAAAGAAAACTGGGTGTTTGTGAAAATCAATTGAAGTGTTTTTCTTGCGTGGATTTGAGTAGGAGTTAGTTCTATAATGTCATTATTCCCGTTTATTCAAGTAAGAATAAAATCACTCGATGGTGTGAAAAAAGCAAAAAATTATATGGTACCAAATTGTCTTTCTATGTGTGTCTGTGTTTTTTTTGACACCATCAAAATGTGATGTTTACTCTAAAGTGAACCTGGACGGTTAAGGCAGATTGTTGCATTGTGTCAGATAGTCAATTAATCTGTCTTCAGTCGGGATCAAACCAATTAGTATCACTGAACATTACGTCTTTTGTTCAGGTGATGCAGTTTAAAATTTTAATTAGCAGTATTTTTACAAGTCGCTATCACAAAATAAGAGCTCTGAATCTCAAGTGATACAAATCGATAAACGCTCTTGTGAAGGATAATTGACAGACTCTTCCACTTTGTATAACTGTAGCTAGAACATTTTATTTTTCTTTGTTGTTTGGGACAGAAAATACTATTTGGCGAAAAGTAAAGCACTTCTTAGTATTTTCGTTCAGGAAAGCCCTTTTCCGTCTTTGATGGCAAGAGCAAAAAATTTGCATTTTAGTAATAAGTGAGAGGTCTTTTTCAAAGGCAATACTTAACACCTCGCCAGTGACTGTTGTCCTACACGAGAAATGGAGAATAGAATATGAAAATTCGTCCCCAGTTGTTAGGGATTGAGACAATAACGGGATTATCCCGCGGCAAGAGGTCTTATATCAAAACCGCAAATTGTTTTTTTGCTGAATGGAGCCTGCACTTTTTAGCTGAATTTTCTTTTTTTTCATCCTACGTTAAGTCAACAGCGCTGCAAAACGTTTTAAAACTTATTTTTAAAAATAAATCAGCTAATTATCTTGTTTGTTTCTAGCGATCTACATCAGCAGGTGCGCTTCATTTCCTCACTTACATTTTATACATGTTACGCACAAAGAAGTAGAAGGCACAACATGTTTTTAGTGGTGTTGACAATTTGAAGCTGAAAAACCAACAACTCAATTAGATAAACAAGCATAACAACGTATTTTTAGGTTTACAGAGGAGACAAAACACAAGTAGAATTTTTTTAGCCACATTTAAAGTTTACAATGCAGTTTGCATTTCAAAAGACCGTTCCGTTCATACTGTGTTCATCATGCTGCATGCTGGTCGGCTTTGCTGATTAATTTTCATCTCATCTTTTACTACAATGTTGTACATAAAACAAACACAGTAAAACCGCCATGAAATGAAGGAGTCTATCAGTGCAATTACCGAAATAAAACAATCTTTGACACTAGTCTACATTGTGCAGCTATTAACAAAACGCAAATAAATTCCTTGTTCTCACTTACAAGCCATTTTGAGGATCTTTGTATTACGAAAATAATCACCACTTTCAGCCAGCGAGAAACACAATTGCCAAACACAATTACCAGCTTCTTTGTCGAAAAACTCTCCTTATGACTGTCACGATGTTCTTCATTCCTAGAATTGCCACTCGCTACAGATTACACTTTGATGTATTTTTTTTTCTGCAGCGATGGCGATGGAATTAGCGAGTTTTGATAAGATCTTCAGGCCTCGATAAAATTTGTTTTTAACCAGATTCGGAGAGAATGTTTATTGAAGAAGCGAGGGTAGACTTTCCTTTTTTTTCCCTTCTCTTTTTAGCCATACCGGATAACTTTTCCTCGAAATATAAACTAATAAGCCCGATGGTGTGGTATACTTTTGGTTTGTTTGCTGAAAATTGGCAAAGTTCCGGTCCAAGTAGTACAAACTATGATAAAACATTGATTTTAACAAACAGCAATCTTAAAAAATTCGCATTATCGAATCTCTATACTCCTTTAAAGCCAAGGTTGTAAGAGAATGCTGAGGATCGCAAAAACATTTCTCAGCTAAAAACTTAATATTTCATGAAAACTGGCTGAAGACAAACGAGAGAACTGAGATGTGCCGCTATGATTCCCGCATCTTAACATTACTTACTCTTTTCTAGATGTGTACCACAAACTTTAAAATCGACAGACAACGAACGAGATTAAAATCCAATGATTTTATTGTTAGAACGACGACAAAAAGAGCCCTAATCCTTACCGTCTGTCAATTCCAAGCCGTCGGCCGCTGCTCTCAAAATTAAACCGCAACCAACCAACAGTGGTATCACCAAAACACGACGGCACAAGATCAGACATTTTTGAAGCGGTGGTCTCGATGAAAACGTCGTTCTTCCTCTACGCCAACTCATGCTTGGCAACTGAAAATTGGATAAGACAACGGACATGTGTTAGCTAAACACGATTCATCTTAGTCATGAAATATTAACAAAAAATATTGTTAAAAGTAGTTTGGCCGTGGAAAGAAAAACATCAAATCGCAGCAATATCTAAGAATTTGAGCGAAATTGTTCGTGATTACGCAAGCGAAAAAGGGTCAAGTTTTTATCTTACATTTAATTTTTATTTCCCCTATTTCCTCGTTTCTTTATGAACAATTTTATCTATATTGCTTCAGAAATTAAACTGTTGAGTTGAAGTTTATCTACGTTCGTTAAACACGACGGAAAAACTCACAGGCCGTACAAACCTAGATGTTTTTCAGAGGCGGTGCTTAGCACTAAGCGAGGAGTTTTTGTGAAGTGCAAAAAACGAGAATCAGTTAAAACCCAAACATCTATGCATGTTTACGCTGTTTACGGAAATGCAATTCTTGTGAAATCCCTGCAGAGAATTAATCTGTCAGAAAAATCAATATGGTTTTCAAAAATATTTTTAAGTCTCTGCAAGTTGCATACGTCGGGTGAAAATTCTCTCTCACGTAGGAAATTTTCGTCCTCAACGGCGCTTACAGGGTCTTGAAACTGGAAAACATCGAGGTGAAAACTAATTGAAATTCCCTCCGATGATTGTAATTGACGGTTTGAATAAATGAACATTTCAAGTCCCAATTTTCATTTGTTAAAAGCGACTGGAGGACAATGCCTCATTTCAATATTATATCTCTAGACGTCAAGTGAACAGAAAAGAAGCGTGAGGTTGTTTTGAAATAATCCCACAGCAATGGGAATAGAACTAACAGTTAATTTACAAGAAATATACCTCTCGACCACGGCTGCATTAGGTTATGAAGATTTTTCTTTTCTTTTCCATACCCTATCATTTGTTTGATATTGTGTCGACCCCTATAGCCGTTGTTGGCCGTGAATCAAGGTTTGCTTTCGCCACTCAAAAGCAGTGCGTGTCATAATACGTCATCGTTACCTAGGTAATGCCCTAAGCAAGTGATTTACATCCCTGTGGGCCTTATCTCCCTTGTAGACATCAAAATCAGAGCGAGAAACTATGAATTATTTATAGCTTGGCGAAGGAAGCTTAGAAAAACAAAAAAAATTGTTTACAAAAAAATATGATCTCATGAATTAAGAAGCCCATTTTCAATCTACAAACATTTAAAATGTCTTTTTTAAACGATGAATGATAGACAATTAATTTTTCTTTCTTACAACTGATTGTAAAAAGATATCTTCGTCAAGTTTTCAAGTAAAATACTCCAAAATCATGCATTTTGTTAAATATGCATACGGGCCTTAAGCTTGTCTTGAATATTCCATGAAATCCTGACGAAAATTATCGGCAGGAGAGATTGTGGTTTGATGATAACACAATCATTCTTGCCGCATAATGAAAATAATGTTCCAACAAGAATATCGCCGAAACTACTATCAATTCTTCAGAGACCTGTCTTGAAAATGTATAAAAGTGAATTTGACATTCGCGATGTTTTGAAAATAAAGCTCACCGGTTGAATTTTCGTCACTATTTGTCAATTTCGCTTACTGAAAAAAAATTGTCGTAGTGAACTATCGACCATGTACATCTTTTGCATTACTTCGTTTCATTTCAAATTTAAAAATTGCAAAAACAGAAAATTTGAGATGTTGAATAGTGCGGCTAGTCAGTTGTTGGCTTTTTTAAAATGCAAAGTTTCGAACCTTTCAAATAAAATTAACGATCTCCGTAGGAACGATTTTAAGTGAAGCCATCTGCCTCAAGTATGGAATATAATTCTTACAATATGTACGCGCAGGTTTTTATATGTCTCCGGCGCGCCATAAATTTTGAACTTCGTTTCCTTGATTTTCTTACTATGTAAGCGACAAAGCTGGCTGGATTCTCATTCAGGTGAAAAGAATTCACATGTATTTTCTACCTACCTCGAACATGTTTTAGTGAGGAGCTTCAGAGTCTCAACCTTGTCAATAAATGTTTTCCCCTTTTGAGTAACACCGCAAAATTCCCATCATAAAATAACACTCGCCATAGTTTGTCAATAGCATCTGTATTATAAGCCAGTTAGTCAAACAGAAGGTTATGAGAATTATGAATTATTACTCAGTAAAAGACGCCTGAAGTTTACGCGCTATTTTTTACCTCAGATATGTAATATGCTGCATCGGTCTTGAATTTTACGTTAAACGGAAGGCAAACAACCTTAATTAGTAGAACTCAGACGTTACAAAATTGAACAAAAAATATATCTAGCTTACTTTTTCATTCCATGAGTTCATGCGTATTTTTGCGCCGACAATTATTCAGAAGTCACAGGTTTTAAAAAATAACACTTGATTCATTGGATTTTTCCTGTGTCAGAGAGCGAGCAAACAACATCAACGGCTTCAGATGGCAACGTAGTGATATGAGTGGTAGAGAGTAATTCCAAACTTTCGTTGGTTATCGACACGTAGCTGTTTTTTTTTTTTTATTATCATTATTATTATTTGTTAGTCTGTTTTTCAACCTAATTTAATCCGCTCAGGTCATCTTTCATTGTGGTCTCTTCTTTCGGTAATTTTGGTGAATCCAAAATACCTGCAATAAACATTCGATTTCCTAACTCATCCTAGCTAGTTCCCAGAATTCTTCGGACGTCGAGTTTTAGGAGTTCGTCATCCTCAACGTATTTTGCACTATTCTTGTCAAATAAGCGTGATATTCTGTGGAGGAGATATACCTGGTAACCCTCAAGTATGTATTTAATTTATTAACTGCTACCGTTGAATGGTTCCCAAGCAGTATAAGTGCATGAGTTATCTCATAGGTCCAGTATCTAAAACTCGAAAAATAAAGACCCAGTTTATCATTTTCTGGTTGAGTTTAGCTCACTGTGAATTTGTATGTCTCCTCTTTCCGCTTTTCAATTACATGACCAAAATTTCCAGTGTTTCATTATACACTGCTATGTTCGAGGACAGCCATACAACAATATTGATGAGAGATAAGTGTTTTCACTCATCTGCGCTGAAGGCATACTCTGGAAATAAAAAATGCGATTCCGCGTGTTTTTCAACAGGTGTCAGAAAATACCTCTTGCGATTCTACGAAAAAGTCTTTTATCCATATCGAGAGTAGATAAAGGATTTTTCTCCCGTTCACGACTGTTGTTGGTTCTCTGTGTCTTGTGACTCAGGCAATAAACGATGGGATTGATTCAATTCAAATTGAGATGTGTATGTTTCATGCTTACAACACTGGCATACCTACTTGTAGTTGCTCTCGGTTCTAAATTCTACCAGAGCTGTATTTCTCTTCTTCGTTCCTTTAATGATCGATGAGATCCTGTTGGACTCGGAACACAATTCGCCTATTTGCCAAACAGTACTCATAAACAAGCTCAATAGTTTCTACCCAACGTGATAATAGGTTTCTCATTCGGTTGACTCTGCTTCCTGGTTTTGAGGGGAAATCACAAGGGAGACTCATTTTCGGTCATTCTTAAGTGTTTAAAAAAGTGCCTCAGTGTTATAACTTACAATTGCATGTGTCGGCTTATTATTGTTATTACATTGCAGTTGTTGTTGTCGTCATTCAAGTCGTTGTTTTCAATCGTTGTTGCGGTGTCGTTTATGTATTTAGCTTTATTTTTATACTAGTTTAGCTATGCTGATGCTGGATCCACATGTTTTGCATCCTTTCAAAATTGAGAATACGTTTGGTATAACTTTGTTACTTTAGATGCACTTTCTGTTTCCTTGAGTCAGCTGCACCAACCAGCGCGACACCGTTCAAGCATCTTCCGTCGGCTTGTTAGATTACCTCGTTCCCGGTTTCTGACAGGGCTTAAATAACATAAGAATTTCCGATTTAACGCTTTAAAAATTAGCAAATCCTTTATTCCTTCACTAGAAAAGCAGCATCTTTGATTTTTTTATTTACTCGATGTAGGCATTTAAGAAAGCGAAGGTGAAGTTATCGTCACGGTAGTCATTTATCTTTCCGCGGGCGCCATTATGGTGTGAAGTATGATACGAATGCAAACAAAATTTGACAAAGGGAAATTAATATTCCAACGTTTAACTTTGAGTACTATATCAATTTTTTGGCTTTTATCTGAGAAGATGACTGAGGTAAACAGTTGTATGACCATTGATTGCTAGAAACTTTGAAAACTCAAAGACGATCGGATGCGATCAAAGGTAGAGGCCTTTAATTTCGAACACCATAAGGTATAAAAGGATCGTTTCGTTTGATTATTATCAATATCATTTTGCTTGCACTTTGCAATCGTATATCAAAAGATTAATTGTTATCAGTAATAACCACAGAATTATTTATTTGCAACCCATGTATGTAAGGACAACGAATCGTTTTTTTTGTTTTTTTTTTTGCTTCTTCTATTTTTATTATTTTTGCTTCTCCTATTTTTACTAAGAGATTATAACATTCTTAGACCCCTCCAAACCGAACCCTTTTGTAATTGCAATCAAGACTGTTAATGTTATTTGCTCAAACATTTGGAGAGAAATGGAAATCATCGTTATTAATCGGCTGAACTGTCAAACAAATTGATGGTAACAAATTGAATTAGCCTGAAAGACCGGGAATATTAGGGAAGTTCTACAACAAGTAACACAAATGGCAGACTGTTTTTGCTAAAATTAGGTAAAATTCTACCAAAATAAAGAATCAGTCGTACGCCTAATCCAATAGCGACTTGTTCATGTCTCGCAATACTATATTAATTGTAAAAGGGATTGCATATTGACTTTTCTCAGTAATCCGGTTCTTTTAATTTCCCCATTACTATTTATATTAGCTTTTTAGATCTTAATTCCGGAAATGGCTTTTTTACTTTTAATTTCAGAGGATGTACCAGGACAAAAAGGAAACTGTCCTTCTTATAAAGAAGTTTCAAAATAGATATACATTTTCCAAATCTCATCTCCTAAATGGCTATTATTCACCTGACAATTCCAACACGTTAGATATTTTGTGACTGAAGTAAATTTTGTTACTTAAATAGTTCTTAGAGGAGGTCGCTGATTTATGGAAGTCTTTTAGGGTAATTCGTCTTTTAGGTCCATGAGCTGTAAATAAGTTTTAAAATGAATTCACACATGAACAACATCAAAGATAGATCAGATTTTATTTCACTCTCGGAGAACCCTTAGGTGGCTCTTACCTATTGATGCTATCACCCGGGCGGTGGGAGATAACATTGGAATTGTCACATCAAATGGATTACAAAGCACCTCATCATAATGTTATCAGATCACTGCGTCAGAGAGCAATATTCTGGTGTAAAACGAAATAAAGATTGAAAAGTTTTAACTGCATAATGTAAGCACTTTTCGAAAGATCGACGATAACGACAAATTGAAGTATTTTGATGTACTTCGAACTAAAACATTTCGTACAGGTGCGTCAAGTATTTGATTTCCCAAGATCAGATTTCAGAATTAATCATTTTAATACGTTTGGCGCCTTTGCGATCTGACGTTTGCAGTGAACAAAGCACTCACACAAACTCGTCTCTGAGAATCGGTCAATTTCCCACCAGCTTGTAGATACCTACAACGGCGACAAAGACATTGATGACACCTAAAGTAACATGTAATAACTCTTCCCCAGTGCAGTCACGATTATTTGGCTACTACCGTAAAAGCCGGAATTTTCAGAAAACAAAATCCGACAGAGTTTTAATGCAAAACTCTGTCCTTCACACTTAGAAGGTAAGTTTAATTTTCAGTTGAAAATGTTATTGTAATAAGGTCTCAAACTCCTAGTAGTTTTGATACACCAAATATAAACGTCTATCGAGGCCAATACAACGAGTAAGGCAGAAAATCGCTGAAGAGATTTTGTAAAATTCCTAACGCATGGAATTTGCTTAGCTTGGTCTTTAGGAAAGGAAACTACACAAACTGTTTAATTTTTGTTAATATTGTTGGGATCTTGATGTCGACAGTTCAATATAACAGTTGAACGTTAACGTTTTTTTCGGTGAGACTTCCTAAGAGATGATTGAGATCAGCCGAATGAAATTTTTAGGGTGAGTATGAAGGCGAGATCCACCTGTATGGTTGTAAAAGCGGGCGAACATATAATGAATCTATACGAGTTTCAACAACTTGTTTGGTTCAATGTAGGTCGATATGCAGGAGGGAAACTGATTAGTTTACATCAGTCTTGGTGAATGGCATTCTCTAAATTGGGGTTAAACTGGACAAGGATTATCATTTCAGTGCTACCAAGGTTTCCTGAACAGAGCATTTTCGTCGCTTTCTAAAACTTGAAATATTCTACACAGTGCAACATTTCATAAAGATCCACCCAGGAGACCCTTAGCGCCAGCCAGTGTTCGTACAACTTGCACTTACAAAGACAAATGAGACTAACTCCATTTCAATTTTTATAATCTCTCAAATAAACAATTACTTTTTATCTTCCTGTTTACTTTAAATCTCGTTTTTAGGAAAACGTTTTTCTTTCCTTAGCTTATCTATGAGAAAGTATCGGCGAAAAAGGAATGACGTAACCTTCGTGAATCTTAATGAACCTATAATTCTGATAGCTCTTTACCCACAAAGCAATGCCAGTTGGGATGATAAAGGTAACTTTCAACTTCAAGCCCCATAAACTCTGTTTGCTGTTAAGTCCAAGTGTGAGGTCAAGATGGCTGGATATTGGACGAGTTCTTTTTTTATGTTTTTATGGACCGAGACGAAGATTTCACTTCATAAGAATCGAAAATGACTTGTCTATTTTAAACTATAATAAACTCTCGAAAATTGTTTATTTTTTCTTTGTTTTGGTTATCTTCTGCCTTTTCTTTACGTCTCCATTGCCGTTATTGTCCAAAAACTAAGAACTTTGCAAATCTGCTCCACGCCTTTCTTTTTCTTGCGTGGGATTAAAGAGGACAATCTCGAGAAGGCTAAATAAGCCCATCTTGCACGCTCGGGTAGCCAATCAGAAAACAGGATTCGCCTCATATTGCTTACGGTACTGCCAGCTATATGTTAATTGACAATATAACATGCACCTACGTATATTCTAATCATTCAACTATCCACATTACAGGGAACAGCTCGTAAAAAGTGTTTTCTTGCAATTCAAACTGCGATATCAGGCCATGAATGAAACACAAGCTTCAAACTCAAGCCATGAAGTTACTACTGACCATCGCAAAGTTTCCTTGATTGTGGCGAATGTGTTCTTGGTTATAATAATAATTTTCGCCGTATTTGGTAACATTCTTGTTTGTCTGGCTTGTATCTTGTCTAAACGGCTTCAAAGTTTCACTAGTGCCTTCATAATCAGTTTGGCGGTCACTGATATTTTAGTTGGCGCTATATCTATGCCCGTTTGGCTTTCTGTTAACCTGACTGGCAAACCAGACGCCGTAAAGTTCCCTACATTCTACACGGTTTGGCTGTGTTTTGACATCATCTGCGGAACGGCATCTATCATGAACCTTGTCTTTATAAGTATCGACCGCTTTCTAGCTGTCAATCATCCTCTTCGTTATCCAACCATAGTCACACGACTCCGAATCACAATCGGAATAACTTTCATATGGATTTATTCTGTAACAATTGCAGCTATACAACCAATCAAATGGCCTAGCTACCCGTTATTCGTTTCTCTGGCTTCTTTCTTCGTTCCTCTGTTGGGCATGGTACTCGCTTATTCTCGTATATTCCAAGTCGCCTTAATACACATTCGTAGCATTCGTCGTGTGCACCCGAACCAATCGATACTTCGACGGCCAACAGCGGAAACATTCCATCGTGACATCAAGGCTGCGCGAACACTCAGCATTGTAATTGGTGTTTTTATTGTATGCTGGTGTCCGTTTTTCGTGGCTAATTTGATCTCCAGGTACTGTAAGTTATGCGAAGTTCCCAATGAAGTTTATTCCATGATTAAGTGGTTACACTACGGTAATTCGGCTCTAAACCCGCTTATATACAGCTGTTTGAACGCAAACTTCAGGGCGGCCTTCAAAGATGTGTTAAGGAGAATCAGTCTGAATAGAAGAATGATGCAGACTGATAGCTTTACCAAAAGGAATGTGACAACTACTACCAACAGCGGACAAGATATGCATTACAGGCTTTCTTTACCAAGTGAACAGCTTCATGGCGTTAACTGATGAAGTTTACTGGCCTGCAGAGTAGCGAAGGCTCCCGATAACATATTCACTGAATGTGCGATAAAACAGAAAACTTCTAGTGATGAGCGTGTTTCATAGACAGCAAAGAAGATAGCGAAGAGGACGACAGAAACATTCACCCTTCCTTTACTACATTAACACAGCGTCAAGTGTCAGGCATGCGCACGGGGATCGATTTTGTCTGGCCGGAAGCGCGCCATTTTCTCGCGCAAAATTTCAAAAGGAAAACGTAGGTCAAGCCGCCGTCATACAAAATATGCGAAAAAAATTTAAACGTTAATATTACTCTATAAACCCTAACTCTTAAGCTAATGCAGGTCTGAGAATCTAGATTTACATCAAACAATATCCACTTGTTGATGTATTCTTCCTTTTCATCACCACTCTTGTTGATGATGCATTGATTTTGTAAGGATAAATCACTCCTGGTAGCGAAAGGTTTTAATAAAGTAATCTAGAGTATTTAGACAACATTTCAGCGTAAAATGATTAATTTAATTGAGTTACCATAGTATTTTGAAACCATTTCAGCGTCAGGATTAATAGCTTCTAAATGGATTACAGCCTTAAAATAATTAATGTCTGGGTGATAAAAACACCATAGACGTTTGAGTGAATAAAAAATTAATAGCAAGTTTATGGATGAACAAGATTGACACAGGCTACAAACGAGGAACTTGGAAATTTACCCTGACTTTTTTAGAATGAAGAACTCATTCAACAGAGTTTCCTTTGGTTTCTGTAACTTCTGTCAAAACTTATTCGGGTCACAAATTTTCTTTTATTCCGCGATAATAATACCGTTAAGGACGAACTAATGTAAGTTGCATGTCTTGGAGAGAAAGAATTATTAAACAGTTAATTAAGATCTAGCACCGTTAAGAGAACAGCAACAGAGCTAATCTTCGATATAGGCGTGTACGCAGACTTATAGTATCCATGATGTTTCTAATTGAGCGCCACGATAAAAAGAGGTGTTCATTGTCTTCCCAAAATTATTTCAACTTTGTGTGGAACTTTCATTTGCCTTCAAATGATGGTAATCTTGAACAAAGAAACTGATTTTAAATCTAAAAATTACTGCGTATTACTTTTATTTGAAAATGTCTTTGAGCGGAGGACGTGATTCAGTTTATCTACAAGTTCATTTGAATGGCCATGTCGTCTCTCAGATTTTGGTAATTCCCACGCTCAATCTTGCTTCTGCTTGAATCGACACATTTTCACTTAAACACACGAGTAAGTAGACGTGAGTATACTTGGTCTTTGTGATTTTCTGTCAGAATTATCCACCTCGATACAGCTCTTTTCCACTCTTGCTATTCTTATGATTTACTGTCGTTGCACCTATGGAACATAAATTTCCGGGCGAAAGGAAAAGACACGATTGTTTACGGAGTTTCTTAACACACTAATCGAGACTCAAGTAAGAAACTGGCTTTACGTTGCGGCCGGAAAGTCAGAGAAAGCACGTTTAATGTGTGGCAAGTTTAAGTCACAATCAGGAAAAACACGTTAGTGTGTGGCAACTTCAGGTCACAATCCGTAGCTGTAAGTTTTAAACTTAAACTTGACTGTAAAGCCAACCAAGTTTTGTCACGGTTTTCAGCGGTAATCCACTTTTTTCTCAATAGAATCGAGTTTTTGATGCTGAGCATAGAATGTAAATCATTGTCACCTGTCCTTCATTCTTTAGCGTTGGCTTTGATGATTTAGTCGTAAATTGTAATAACCAGTAGTTGATAATTTTCTCTTGTCTTCTTCAGTAACTCTAAACAACGGTCACGATTTCAGTGCAAACGAGAGCGTCCATCTCAGTCTTAGAATTGGCTTTAACTAAATCAACGGCAATATTTCCACTACTTCGGCTGGTTCTCGGCGTGCTGTGCGATAGCCATCGACTGACATACGAGAAACTTTGATCGGACACGAACCGACAAAGAATCCTACGGAAAGCCGCTCGGAAGTGCCGATTGAGGAGCGTGTAGATGATCGGGTTTACCGCTGAATTAGAGTAATGCAGCCACTTCATAGCTTTAGCGAGTCGTAAGGTCGTGTCCTGAGACATGCACCTCCCACAGGAAACCGTTATCAATAAAGTGATGATATACGGTGACCAGCAAGCGAGAAAGGCGCCCATTACAATCGCTAGCGTCTTAGCGGCTTTCAGATCAGTGTGATATACACGACGCATTTGGCGCACGGAGCTCTGACTAGTTAGGCGCGGGCGCACTTTATGGAAAAGGAGGCGACTTGCAGTGGAAGAATTCCGCCCCATGCTGTAAGAGGCGCGAGGCTTCACAAAAGTCTCTGAGTCAGCGGATTCCCCGTTCTTATGTTCAACATCTGACATTTCTTGGCCATAGGTTTCTATTTGCATTTTTAAGGCTTGTTGATGAGCCACACGAAAAATTCGAGCATAGGAAAAGAGAAGAACTGGCAGTGGTAGAAAATAACTCGCAGAAGCAACAAAATATGCATACCATTTGCCATGCGTTGAAATGAGCCGTAAACTGGCTACAGTGATGGAGTAGGCCCACAGAAACACAATGCACAAACGAGCGCGGTTCTTAGTCAGTTTCGAATGGTAGGTGAATGGAGATGTTATGGCGAAGAAGCGATCCACGCTGATAGCCACTAAGTTCATAATTGAAGATGTCCCGCTCACAATGTCCAAACAAATCCATAACGTGTACAGTTCTTTGTCCTTAAGAGGGTCTGGCCATTGTTTGATGAGGTAAACGAACCAGAATGGCATACACACGAACCCTACTAACAGGTCAGCAACAGCCAGTGAAACAACGAAGTAATTTGTTACATTGCGAAGATCTCGGCAATGATAAAACGCGGCACAAACCAGAATGTTTCCAAAAATTGTAAAGACAATTAGGAAAGCCAACGGTATTGATGCGAGCGTGATGTTTTCGGGTTCGGCTCCAGACGATTCCGATTTTGGATCGAGGATTACAGCTGAGTTGTTAGCTCCTTGCATCTTCTGTTCCTCTTGCTGTTGAGCTTCTGTTCAAGGAGTGTTTAGGATATTGCCATGCCTCTAGAATGAGGAATTATTACTTAAGCCAGCTCGTCGGCCCCTTTCTGTAGCTTTAAAGAACCTCGAAATCTCTCGCAGAGAAGCTCTCTTATGTACCGTTCAGTCGAATTTCGTTATTGATGTTATCTATTATGCCTCAGCTGTGCAAACAATTTTAAACGACGAGTAGACTTGCCGCTAAAAGGTTCTTCTGACTTGTTTCCTTTCGTGCACAGAGAGGCGGATCTGGGCCAATATACGCTGTCCACACTAGCTGTTGTCCGCCTGTCGTAGTCAAAGCTCAAAGTTTTTAGTAGTTTTGAATTTGTCTGATGCAAATAAACACAAAATCAGATGCCTACTAACTCGAGAGAGTAATTTTGTAAAGAACAGGGTAAAAGCAGTGCAATTTCAAGTAACAAATAAATGGAAACCTGGAGCAGTTCCTTTGTACTGTGACCACGTTCCTGTTATGTAATTACTTTGTCGGACTTGACTTATGAAGACGAGTGTGAAATACGCTGCCAACGAGTTCTTGCGATTAAAGTTAAATCCTCACAGCCTACCTTGTCCACCGCAATGACTTTTAATCTATTATATCTGACGGCAGCGCACAAATCTTATCATTCAACACTTCAAAAATGGTTTTTCGTTCTTACTGCACGAAATAAGTTATCTCTTGCCGGCAAACCCGCTGATAATTCTCTGGGTTGTTCTATTTTCCTTATCGATGCCGGCGGTCTTCACTTTGAAAATTACCAAATCCGGTCAGCTAGAATCCAATCGTTCGCAATTTAAGTCACGCGTCGTTACGAGATCCAGTTGTATGAAGTTTTCAATTTTGTCTCTCCCCTTTCCCGCCTTTCCAATCATGAATGAACAGTATGCTCTGTGTTAGGGTCACGTTTAGTGCTCAATTCAACCAAAAGAAAAGATCTTTAAATGTTTCCTTGAATTGAGCAGCAAAATGTCAGTTGTCAAAATATTTCAATGTCCACCTGCCAGGTACATCCAGAAACACACAAGAACTATTCAAAAGCTTACGGGGAAAATAAGAAGATTATCAGAAAATTGATATATACGTACAAATACAGATCTGGCCGTGATAATTGTACACAAGAGCCAACTATTTTGATGTTTCGTGTCGGATGCGAACCACTTGAAAACATCATCCTTTCTTTATTAATATTTAAAACAGAAAAGCACTTCATTAAATGCCGCAAACTCTCAGTGCTTTGATCTAAAGAGAGTTAAAGAAATATCACGTACCTTCCTAGTGAACAGAATTTGTTCTTACAAATCAATATGTATATATAGACCCTAGGCGAAAAGTTAATGTTGCAACTTGCCGAATAATTAACATTTCGCTAATCAGAAGGTATTTTTTGGCTATTACCTAGATTAAAGAATATGAAAGCTTTTAGAAAAGGTATTCAAGTGAGTTTTCGTGAGCACATTTCGTTTGACACTGACCCTGTAATCCCTACATGAAAAGATTTACCAATTAACATTTCATTTTTTGAAACAAACTTACGTGTGTCATGTTTCTATTGAATTTACCTTTCTAAACCGAAGTTTCTGTGTAACATGAAATAATTTTATCTCTCTTAAAACGGGTTAAAGTGCACTTTTATGTAATATTTATTTACTTCCACATGAAGCGGACAGATCATTCTAACGAAGTCATTCAATGCACGCTCAGGTCAAAGAGTACGACCATTGCCTAGCTGTTAAAAACAAGTTGAATTCCCAGGTTAAGGGTTCCGTGTTAACAAAATGGGAAAATTTAGTACTCAAGACACTTAAAAGATAGCACAATGGACAAGAGGACTTATACAGGGTTTAGGGAATATTTTAACACTTACTAAACCTCGTGAAAGCCAAGTGCACTGATAAGCAAAAGTTCATAGGGTAACCAGCAATGTATTTCTCTGTTTCAAGGGCCGGCTCAACAAAAACACAAAGACAACCAACGGGAACATCCTAAGACAGTGTTTATATTCTAAGAAGATTCATGCCGTACCTCTTTTTTTTTATTTCGTTTCGTTTTAACTTGGGACTCATCTGAAATATCAAGACAAAAACAAAATCAGAAAGACTTTGGAAGATTTGCTACAGAATTAAAGATTACGAAATACATTTTTAGTTCAGGTCAAAAATTTTTTGAAAGCTAAGCCTTCTAAATGCCCCACTTAATCCCTTACAGCCAAAGATTTCTTAATAAAGGGGATAAGTTTCTGAAGAAACTGTGGTGCTGCGTCGGTGGGAGAGTATAACAGGGTAATTTGGTATTATCGATTGAGTTGATAACGGAAATTGGCCACCGTAAAGAGTTTGAAAGCTGACGAGTCGAGCGAAAATTATTTTTACACTGGAATTTCTTTCTATCTTTTCCAAAAGTCGCATGATTTTCAATGCTCTTTCCTTCTGTTCTCATGTTTTGTTTGCTTTTCCTGACAGAACAACATGCTTGTACAAACTGAGTTAGTGAACGTTTTACTTAGATGTCAGAGTGAATGAAAGTTAATTGACATAAGGACTGAACAAAACACACTGTAGTTATAAACGGATATGCTATGCTTGCTAATGAGGTCGGTAGAAATTTCGCAAGTTTCAGTGTGTTTATGACTATTAAACGTTCCAAAATTTGCGCTTTGAACGTTTATCAACCGAAGAAATGAACACTACGGGTTTGCATTGATTGTCTGCATGTTCTCCTATACAGGCTGCACGCGCTCGAATGACCCGAAGAGCTTTACTTCCGAGACTAAAATTAATTCCACTCGACTGGCATAAAATTGCGCGAAATTACATGTAATAAAGTCCGTTTTCTGTCTCGGCTAAAATTATGAAAAACAGAATAGGGAATTCAACAGTTTATCGTTGGTTGGTATTCAAAGTCAATAAAAGACTGGGGAAAGATAACGTCATGGTGAGGGTTTGAAGGTATGCCGGGTAAAACAAAACAGAAAATCCTTAAATACCATACGTCCTTCTCAAACCCTTGTCAAGAGAACTGGTAACGAGTCTTGCTGATCGTTAGGACACTGGCGCTTAGCGTAATAAAACAAGTTTAGTTCCAGAATAAGTAAGGGCGAAGGGAAAGCGGGATGGGCATTTACAAAAACTTTCCACAACGTAAGCAATGCGATGATGTGTTGGAGGAAAGTAAAAAGAAAGCTGGAAACATTCAGTAACATCGTTCACATTAAAAATAAAACTCCCTGAAGTTATAGCATTTATTTGGTTCCCTTACTATTTTTATTTTCTGTCTATTTACTAGCAGACTTTTCTTTGTATTCAATCAATCCTTTCTCTATCAGATCTGGGATTTCTACAGCAAGCCATGGTCCAAGCTGGAAAAATAAAAAACAAGTAAAGTTATACAAGCAGTCTTGCTTGTTGGCCTAAAAACACAGCATCAATCCTCTGCAAACACTTGCTCTAAAAATGTTGGAATTTGAAAATAAATGTGATATATTAATATATACCTGCAGTCTATAGAAGAAGGTGTTGAGAGAAAAAATTATAGGGGAACTTTGACCAAAGGAAATAACAATAGCTGATTTAAAATTTAGTTTTTTGTGCAGTTTTGTAGATTGTTTGTATAAAGTTCACACTAATTAAAACCAACCTCTTACTACCCCACCAGCTTAATTATGATGTTTCACCATGTTGCCTTCTTCAGGTAAAACTTATGGTAGTACTGGAAATACGCTAATACATAATTAGTGATCATATAAAAGGACCTCTTGTTGCAGCGTTTAGGTCACCCCTGATGAAGGCACTAGACAGGAGAGTTGAAACGTTGGGTCTATGAATTGTAACTTCTTTGGTTACTTTCATTAAATCTGTAAACCAGAGTAGCATCAAGCCATGTCTGAAGTTCACACTGGTTTGTTACTTTTAGAGGCTTAAGTGATGTTGTTATCTGAGAAAGAAATGCATGTGCCTACTGCATCACCTTTTCATGAAAAAACAAAATGCATATATCTATCATTTATACTTCTGGATTCACAACATTTTAGAGAACAGGTATGTATAGGAAGTATAATGATGGTGGACCAAACAAATGACTCCTAGTAGAAGGATCTAGACTAGATACAGTGTCTCTATGTGGATTAATTGGTGAGTGTATAAACATGTAGCATAGAAAAAAACTTCTAACAATAATTCCAGCTGATGAATTACCAGGTTTCAGCCCCTAGCTTTCTTCAGGAGGAATAAAAGTAAAATTCTGAAATTAAAAACTGCACTACAGTTTTAACTTCTTTAGTTTCCAGTACTACCATAAGTTTTACCTGAAGAAGGCTACATGGTGAAACACCATAATTAAGCTGCTGGGGTAGTAAGAGGTTGGTTTTAATGCTAAACCTTTATGTATATAATTGGATGCCTTTGCTTTAGTCTAAGGTACATACCCCAAGAGCCATGGCATGTGCTATTCCAAATTTAGGAACATTTCTTCCCCAGAGAGGTTTAAAGTGATCTGTCATACAAATTTTTCCTCCCCTGTAACATAAAATTCATTATGTATAGACAAGTGTTGAGATAAGAGTGGTTTAACTTATCTTTAGGAAGTATAGAAATGAGAAAATCAACATTTTACCTGTACATTTTAGCAGTTTTGCCATCAAGTTCAGGAAGAGCAATCTCTGGTGCAGTTGTAGGATAAGTGATTGGTATCTGGTAAAGGAACCAGCAATATCATAATGTATCAAACAGGCTTTATCACACGATTAAAAGTCATCAACAAGGCTGTTGTTAGAAATTAGAAAATGTAAAAGGTGTTGGATCTGAACTGAACTATGCCTGCATATACAGTACCAAGTCCTCCTTGGGAGGTCTGAGAGCATGCTCCCTCACAAAAAAATTGAAATTTGAAACTCTCTGAGATGTGATTTCCAGTGTTCTGGCACATAAATGCCTGAAATTTTTATTCATATCATATTGATTTTAAAATCAGCTCAAATTAATTATATTCTATCTTTCAGGTTTGCTGTTAACAACAGCTGATAGTTTTTGCATGGTACTTCATGTACAGAGTCATAGCTTTTTCCTTGTTCTATAAAATCAGAAAACTATGATAAGAGAATGACTAAAATAAGCCTCAGATTTAAAAAATAAAAGGTTTCTTCAGATGAAAAATATCAAAATTACAAAATTTCTGAAGCACAGTTTAGTCAGCAAAAAATGGCCTGAACACCTACCAGCTTTCAAAGGCAAACCTTATCAAGAAATGTGTTGGTCAAATTCAGGCAAGGAATATACTTGAATCACATGAAACTTTCCAATCAGATGGACCCACTAAATGAGGGGCCTCATGTCTCCTTCCTCAGCGAGGAGGTGATTTTAGCAGCAATATCTCCAAGTTTTATAATTATGCCAGTTTTGGATGAAGGGGAGGAATAAGAGTGCGTGGCAGAATAGCAGAAATTCATTCATTTTTGTTAAAGAAAAAGCATTAGAGTATGTTGTATCATTATCTCAATAGGAGGGGTTAATTAGCAGTGGAGATGCTTTTTCGATGAAGAAAGAACTGGAGCTATAATTTATTGGCTTTAACTTACATCAAATTCTATGTCAAATTCATACTTCAAAAGGTTGTGGACATACCAGCATTTACCAAACCATCTATCAAGTGAACATAAATCAAAGTCAAGTCATGAGCTCTTTGACTGAAAGAAACTAAAAAGGCTGTACAAATTACAAACCATGATTTTTCCAAAAAAACTAACAAAAATATGCAGTTGTGGGTACATGGGAAAAATCAAATTTAATCAACAGAAAAATGATTATGACCACCAAACCACAAACAAATACCTTGTCCCCTCTTTATTTGATTCCAGCCTGAACCAGTCATTGTCTGCTTCTTTGTTGTTACTTACATACTGAAACAATGACAAAAAATAAAATGATAATTAAAGTTTACTTCTGCCTTTTTTCTCAGAATTACATGTATGTGAACATAGAATGAAAAATATTTTCAGTTTGAGTTTTTCCCAGACAATTTTTTTCAAACTTGCTACAAATAATTTTAATATTTTATCTTTAATAGAGGTGCTCCTAAAACAGTAAAAACTAAAGTAGGAGGTATAAGTTTAATCTAAAATCTATATTTACGATAATAAAATCCAATTGAATTTAAGAACAATCTAACCTAATTTGTAATAGGACGAAATTCTTATGTTAATTCTAAATTTAAATAAAAAACTAGTTTACATGTACATAATTAAATTAACCATCTGGTTAGCAAAACCTTAAATAGTAAATGATTGAGTAACAAAAAGTAAATATATAAGTAAATGATGAATGAAAAAATAGAAATAACCAAGGAAATAAAGAGCACATACTTTAAGTAACATTATGCCAAATATCTAATGGTGGGCAAAATTTCTGATCTAAAAACAGAGATACTCTAAAGTAAATAGGAATAGTTGGTTTCACACTAAAGTAGACCTTGGATAAAAAGAAAATTTGTAGACATTACAGTTGCATGGATACATTACTTTATACACGGGTACAATTTGGGAGCCGAGATGCCCTGTCTAGATTAAAAACCCAAGGAGGAAGTGGGATGCCCCTTAGATCTTGCAAGATCTTGTAGAACATGG